GACAGAGCACTACCTCCAAATATTTAAAGCCCATCAAAGGTATGTAAGGTCACTTCCACACTGCCCTATATCCCAGGATTTGATCCCAAATTATCTGATTAAACTGGATTATATGAGTCTCCATTGCCAGATAATCTGGGAAAAGAAGATAATCTGGGATCAGCAGCATGGAGGGGGCCTCAGCACTTTTCATGATGTTCTTCAGTGACATCTTGTTTTTAATCCCAGAGAAGAAGACCAAAGGCGTTCTTTCCAAATATCTTTCTCAAATCACAGCTGTATTAATAACACCATATTGGCAGTATTCTCCTGGCTTAGACATTGTGCAATTCTGTGTTTTAGCTAAAGCTTTTAATTACCATAGTCATAAACAATCAAAACATCCAAGAAAATAAGCTTTTATTTGTATTCTTTCAACTTTGCTTCTGCCTTTTCGTAGTAATGGAAGAAACCATCACAAAATACCGTATTTATTCCATTTTAATGCTCACCTTTTTTTTTTACTAAATTACCCTCCCAAAATTAGGGTGCACATTAGATTTGCGTAATATGGTAAATACTTTTTGGGGTTTCGGGCTCTTGAAATTTGAAGTGTGCATTAGACTTCATACGGATAATATCTTTTAAACTCTTTGCTTTGTGGGGAGGAAGTAAAGGTGATAAAAACTATGTTTTCAATTTGAGATTCAGTAACAGTAGATAATGGTATCTGTAAGTCGGCAGTAGCACTTTACATGCTGCTATTTAAATTCAGCTTGAGATCTAATAATTATGTTGTCAGTGTTTAACTCTACCAGTCTAGCTATATGGCTATTAGTATCCATCATTTGGTTGGGTGAATATCTTCTCTTCCACCAAGAGCAAAAGGGGGTGGTATGACTTACTGCATGACCTCTCTGTGGCTTTGGCTAACCAGGTGGTCATTTGGTATTGGTTTCTTCCTCCCAGCATTCCACGGGGATCCACATGGTACTAGGAGGGGAAGGGGGGAGCCAGCAATTGGGGTTAAAGCTTCAGTTTAAACTCTTTGGGTAGTAGTGCCTAACCTGGGTGCCAGGATGGTTCCACTTGATCAGGTAAAGGGATTTGAAAGGTGAAGCTGCGTGAGCCACCCAGTACCTCTGCCTGGACATAAACTCATCCACTGTCTCTTGTATTTTGTAAGCTCTGCATTGTTATTACAATGTATGTGAGCATGTTGTTATTTGAATTGTGTTGCTTTGTCATAACTTTGTGATGGTTGGCATAGGTCCTATCTTGGACACTGGTGGTGGGGGTGACCCCAATCTGGGGATTGGAGGTCTGAGGTAGACCTGCTCTAATCTGTTTTGTGAGCAATAGTCACTCCAGCAGCCCCTGATGAAAGGAGGCACCATGTGAAAGGGATAGCTTCACATCTGAACTATCTCCAATCATCCCAATGGCTTCAGTAGTGGGCCTGAGAACTGCACTCACCAATCAACACAGAGCTTTCCCGTCAGTTTCCTGGGGCTAATAGCACACTGCCTCCTAGTACAAATGGATAACTGATGGGTTTTGCTTATGTTGAGCAATTTATGAGAAAGTAAAATCAGAGTCTTAGGGCCTTTCTGCACTGCCAAAAATCTCAGGAGGAACTGTGTTATTTTAACTCTGTTCCTCCAGAGATTTTGTCCCCACTCCCAACTCAAATCCCTGGCTTTCCTTTGGGGGGGGGGGTGGCGGCTAGATGCCATTGGAGCCACCCTCCACCACCACCCCTCATTTCCCCCTCAAAAACTTTCTTGGGAGGCCTGCAAAAGAAGCCTGGGAGTCAATCCCCACAGACCCAGCACCTGGTGTCAAATTAATCTGGGTTTACCTGAGGCATCATATGGATGCCTCAGGCAAACCCATTATATCTTGGGATATCAGGAAGTGTAGAAGGACCCTTAGCTGGAAGGGACCACAGGACCATCTAGTACAGGCGAAAACCATGCAGGATTATGCAACTGAAATGCTTCTGAAAAAAATGCTTATTCAACTTCTGATAAAATTCTTCTACAATGGAAAGTCCACCACCTTCCAAGACAATCTAATCCACTGTATATCTGCTTTTATAGTATAATGTTTAGGTGGATTTTCTTTTCTTATATTATGAATCCATTGGTTCATGTTCTAGTCTCTGGAGAAACAGAAAGCATGCTCACTCCATCTTCTACATGACATCCCTTCAGATATTTAAATGTAGATATTATGTCACTTATTATTATTTCTTTCTCCAAGATAAACATATTCAATCATTTCTCATAAATCATATCTCTGGCCACACACTCCAGCTTGTCAGTATCATTCTTGAGCTGTGGGGCCTAGTACTGGACACAGTATTACAGAAGAGATTTAAACAAAGCATTATAGAGTAGCTATAATACCTATTTCCTTCAATCAGGACAACACTGTTCCATGCAGAACAGTGGTGGCAACAATACAGAGAAGAACCCAAGCACACTGGCCCAGTGGATCTGATGCACCTCTCAGCTGTGTGAACAATGACCCTGGAACCCTTTTAAACCAGGCTAAACCACTCAGTGTAGAAGAGCCCTGTGATACCATTTCCCCCACACCATGGTACCACAATGTACATGATATTTTGTAGGGATGTGAGATCCATTTAAAAAATGGTTCAAAACTCATTACAAAACTGGGGGGGGGGGGGGGCATTTCATTTCTAAAGTATAGTTAATGAAAAATTTGTTACTATAATGAGAGTAATGAAATTTCGTTACTATTTCATTATAGTAATTGCACATAATTACTATAATTGGGGAAACTTCAGGGACTCCTTTCTCCCTCATTTTTACAGTTATTGGGGTGAAACGCATGGCAATGGTAGAACACATTTACCACTCTTAGTCCACCAAATTTCAGAATATTTCACACAACAACAGATTTTTGTGATATTTTAATTTTTTTTATAAACAACATTTTTTTAAATAAAGAAAATATGTTCCTAGTTTTAAAGTGTTATTTCCTGTTTAATTGTGTAATCCTTACTTTGAAAGTAGTAGTTCTACTCCAGGAACTTTGTTTTTGCATCAAAACTCCATTAAGTGGGTGGATGACGATGTTAATTAGTGGACTGGATAGCAAAATGTGCTATAACACAATGTCCCTCACACAAAAACAAAGTTTTTGCAGTTTAAAAAATGTTTGCCATATTTACATGATAGAACCAATTGGGAAATTACATTTATAACCCAGGAACAAAAATAATAATTTATTGGAACTCTGTTTGGCTATGGAGGGGCAAATCTTTTTGATGCTGAGCAGTGCACTGCATTCTGAGAAATGTAGTTTAGGGCAGGGCCTTTTGAATTATCTGGCATAGGGCTCCTCCCTTCCCAAACTACATTTCCCAGAGTTCTGTGCTGTTTCCAGAAAACAATGCTCCCTTTTTTTCCCACTCCTAATGCTGAGACTCCATTAATTTACAGAGGCACTGAGGAAGCCTTTGGCTTGCTTTCAGCTTTGCTTCCTTGCACCGAATATGAAACTGACTTTGGGAGCTTTCCGAAATTTACAAAACGAAAATGAAAAAGTATGGGGTAAGTTTCGATTCTTATCCACGTATATTGGACATTGCCTCATAAGTACGAATTTAAGACATGTGATCTGAATTATAGGGACTAACAAAAAAAATGCAAAACCCTAATATTTTGCCTTTTACCATATTTTTAGCACAATGTTGTCATCTTGTTTTGTCAGTTTCTTTTCTAATTTTTATGACATCAAGGAAAGAAAAACCCTGTGAGTGCATCATAAAGCTTCAAGTTTCTGCTAAAATAGTGAAAAGTTTGCAGAGAGGAGCAAATCACCAATGCGGTTCACAGAGTTGAAGAAATGACACAGGGTGTGGCTGCAGTTTTAAGCCTTGCTAATTGTTGATCCTAATCTGTTCATGGAAAGTAAAGACTGGAGAGTGGAGAAAACTCTCACTTTGATTTTCTTCCCTTTTATGCAACTATAGCATAATGATTCTGTTTGAATGGCCATGGCTGCAATAATGCATTTGATGTTCTAAACAAGTTATCACAGTTGAGAAGGAAAGCTGAAACATACTGAAGAGACAGGTGCTGCTGCTTTTTTTTTTAAACAGTAGCTCTTTCTCTTATTTATTTATTTATTTATTTATATGTATGGAATTTAGAAATGCATCACACTTGCCTACAGTACTCAAGCACGCTTTGCCCAGAATAGCTCACCTCACTTGCATCTTTTCTACAAATGTCTCTACTAGAGATTTGCAAGGCTGCAAAAAAAATTAATCTATTACACTCATTACTGGCCAAATAATTTCAGAAGATGTTTCAGAGCATAATTTCAGTTTCAACCAAAGTCCATACTTAGCTTGTGTTTATCCCAGGCTGTATAGATATCTTCTCACATCACCTAGAGAATGGTTCAATGGAAACATTGAACCTTTGTAGATCCAACATACATCTTCATATATTTGCAGGTGGACTGATTTTGCGTCAAGGTTTGCAAATGTAGCACAGTGGCTTCCTTACATAAGGATGGCAAGTTGAAAAGGATACAACTGGTATTTAGGGTTCAAAATGATTTTTATACAGTTGGGACTCTATGTGTGTATTATTTATAAAGTGCTTATTGCAATGCACTATACAAGCAATTGATTGTTGATAAGTTCACTGGAAGCCAAGTTTCTGTCAGAGTACAGCAGTGATTCTGATCTAGTTTTAAACACTAACATATGCTGTGCAACAGCTAATTCAGAATACCCAATAAATGCTATGCTTGTTTAATTAGCAATAATGCCCAATAAAAAGAAGCATGACCAGACTTGAGAGAACAGAGTTTCCTAAAACCTTGGAGGTGGATAAGAAGCACAAAGAAAGGGCAGGAGGAGGAGACAATGGGGGTGGGGAGGAGCACCAGAGTCCCAGTGAGTTGCAAATGCAAGTATATATAATGCTGTCTGGATTAGACTACACTACCTGTTCATGCTTCCACTGGAGAGAACAGCAGGGTAGCTCTTTGGAATCTGCATCCCTGATGCTTTTTTGGCTGTGAGAATGCCTCCACAATCAGGAGCTAGTGTTGAAAAGCCAAAACCTGGATCAGATGTTGGAAAGCTGTTCACCTGGGAGGAGATAGGACTCCACTCAGGCAAAGGGAACTCTAAGGAAGACAAGTGGCTTGTCATCAGCAAGAAAGTCTATGATATCAGTCACTTCCATCGGCTGCACCCTGGGGGCCCACGTGTCATCAGCCACTATGCTGGACAAGATGCCACGGTGAGATCTTATTGTGAGAACTGTAAGAGTTGAAAAGAATCATAATTCTGTAGCAAAATGTATGTTGTGTCTATATTAGGATGCTTCATGTTCAAATGTTGCTCCCTACAATTCTCTCCAAGGGCATTGAGTGTGTTGGAATTCAACCTCACACTGCTCAAGTTTGTAGTCCTCAATGAAGAACAGATAGAATTAATCAAGACTGAGAAAATCTCTTTTCCCACATTCCTGAGTGCCTGTTGTCAGGTCTGTTTTCTCTCACTCTCTGTCCTTTCTCCTCCCATCCTAATTGATGACATAGAATGGAATTTCTTCAGGATGCACGTGCCTTTGTTTTAAGACCCAAGAAGAGAGATCTCACTCCTTTTCATTCATTCTGTCCTTTTCTGTGTCTCTCTCTAGTTGTCTGTGAATGAGAAAATGTAGTCTTTAGAGTTTTTTTTTGTTTGAACTTAGAAGTAATAGAGTGAGAGAAAAAGTTTTATATCAAAACATGTAGTTCTTAGAGACTTTAAAAATTTAGTTCTTAGAAACTTTTAAGACTGAAAACAAGAAAAATATGGATTTTCTAGATTGTGTGTTTTTTCCTTGACAAAGAATATCTAGAAAATATTTCTGGAAATCAAGATGTCATTTCAGTAACACCTCTGGGATTTTTCAGATTTGGTTTTGGGATCATTTTGTGTTAGTTTTGCATTTTTGCTGAGTTCAAAGAAAGCATATTTCCTGCTAAATTATTCTTAGCTTGAAGATGTGGCTCTTACTGATGCTGGCACTTATTTTATTCCTAATGTTTAGAGCCCAGCCATGGTTGCAGTAATTTACCACCACGGTTGGAGGATCACAGCTTGATTGAGTCTGAATTGATGTTTTTATAAGTTCATTTGTTTTGTTTTATTGCATTTTATATTGTGTTGACTTTTATGTTTGCTTTTAGGCACTTTGTGCCATCTATAAGTCGCCCAAAGTCCCTTCGGGGAGATGGTGGCTGGATATAAGAATAACATTATTATTGTGTCATTATCTGTATACTCACAAGGCCCAACTCCATATATGTAAAATGCCTTATATTATCATGAAGTGTTTACACTAAATAAATGTTAGGATGTGTAAATGAAGCCCGGACTGATTGTCATTGAGGGCCCCTAGTAAGATGCGGATGGCTAGGACGGTTTTAAATTGTTTTTTTTAAATGGTGTATTTTAATATTTAGATAAATGTTTTTAATGTTTATGTATTGTACCCAGGCATTGAATGTTTGCCATGTATATGTTGTGCTCCGCTCTGAGTCCCCTTCGGGGTGAGAAGGGGAGAATATAAGTGTTTTAAATAAATAAATAATAAATAAGAGATATACAATTTCATCTAAAGCAGAGAGAGGAAATCTGGAAGCCATGTATAAGTTGAACCACTATCGTGTGCCCTGCATCCTTCATCAGAAAAGATAAGAGATGTGTTCCTAGGTGGTATATTGAAATTCTGTAACCTAGAAAGGTCTTTTAGAACACAAGATGCATTGCTATCTCCTTTAACCCAATGGCGAACCATGTGTTACAGAAAAGTGGCCCTTCTGTTTTGATAATATTCAAATTCAAACCATTTACTAAAAATGCATATATTTCTGCCTCTTACCAGTGATGTCAAGGTGGCTTCTCACAATGCAAGCAAAAATGACAATAGCTAGAAGCAGAAGAAACAAAGGAGATTTCCTTCTGCAAACAGCTCTGATATTACCTTTTCTATTTTGACCACGAGTCCCAGCTATCCAAAAAACTTCCAAAATCACACACCCACCTCCTTGGAATTTTTCTGCCACCAGTTGTGTTTGCCTGCTGGTGCCTTAGAAATCAGTCCTGCTGAAAATGAATGTAACCTGTCTGCAAATAACCATTACTTCAGCAGCATCTTCTCCCTTTTACATCCAATGGTTTTGTATGTTTCTTAGGATGCCTTCAGCGCTTTCCACAAGGATGGGGACTTGGTAAGGAAATACTTGCATTCACTACTAATTGGAGAACTGGCACCTGATCAACCCAGCTGTGAGCCCACCAAAAATGTAAGTCACATGCACATATTTATTTTATTTCTGTTGTATCCTGCTTTTCTTCCAGTATGGTTTACATTAAAAAGTAAAATAGAATACAATTGGCTCTTCCTATCCAAGGATTATGTATCTACTGATTTCACAATTAATATCTTTAAAATATTCCAATTTGTTTAAAAATCCAAAAAGCAAAGCGTGGTTATTTCATTGTATGCAGGGAGCACCATTTTATTATGTGGTTGCATATACTGAGGCTTGAGCATCCATGGATTTTGCTATCCAGTGGGATCCTGAAGCCAAACCTCAGCAGGTACCAAGAGCCTGCAATAATGTTACAATAAGGTTTAAGACAAATAAAAACAATTAAATGAATTGTTTAATTAAAAATAAATGACAATAACTTTAAAATCTTTAAAACATAATAATGGTGATTTAAAAAGCATGACCCACTTAAAAGAGCTTCTTAAAGAGAGACAGTCACATACATATCAGGAAAATATACAGGGTTGTAAATATAGTCTTGAAAAATTGTAATAGAGTTCCTGGCATGAATAATCCTATGCACTTGAGACCATATAACCATAGTTTCTCTACCCCATCCTCTCTGTGGTTAGGTTTCATTAATATTGATAGGATGAGCAAGCACAGCAAAGAGGGTCTGCAGAACTCTTTTTCATGGTTCTTAAGAAACTCTGTATTTGCTGTCTCATATACAATCAAAGTTTTTTTAAAAACCACTTTTACTGCGAATGTGTGAAATATTCTCTCCACTGCAGTGTTCCAATTTTGTGTTGAACTTATGGTTCATAGGCGACAGTGCGATAGAACATTTTCCACGTCTGCCTGTTTGGACAGAAATTTAAACGAGACTTTCTCGTTTTCCATTCATCTAAGGTTTATCTATTTCCTAATTGTCTCACAGTCTTGATTGCTTTTGTGATAATCCTTATAATTTAAATAAGTGTTGGATTTTATCTTCCCAAAGATGAAAGACTTCTACTGTTTCTTCTTCTTATAGGAAATGCTGACAAATGATTTTCAGGAACTGCATGCAACAGTCAAGAAGATGGGACTCCTAAAGTCAAGTTACCCATTCTTCATCTTCATGTTTCTGCATGCTTTTGTGCTAGATATAGCAGCCTGGCTCACCATCTGGTACTTTGGGAAATCCTGGGTGCCCTTTCTGGCAGCTGTAGGACTATTCACCATTGCACAGGTAATCCATTCATGTCACAGGTCTAAGTGCTTTGTATCTTTCAATACTTCTGACCTCCCTGCCCTGGAGTGTGGTGGGGTCTCCTTCTTTGGTGGCTTTTAAACAGAACCTGGATGGCCATCTGTCAGGGATGCTTTGAATGTGATTTTCCTGCTTCTTGGCAAGGTGTTGGACTGGATGGCCCATGAGGTCTCTTCCAACTCTAGGATTCTGTCATTCTATGATTCTATGAATATGGCATTCCATGATGTACTCTGTAGTATTTTAGTGGGTCAAGGCAAAGTGATGTGATAGGTAATGTACCATCTTATAGCCATTGCCCAATTGCTGGTTCAATACAGTTGTGGCCTATTTTATTCCAGTGAACAAACAAATGTTGTTAACTGTTGTAAACTCAGATTCTAGATTGTACTACAGTATACAAGCAACAATTTAATGTAACTACACCATCAAAACACATAAATCACTATTAACAGCTTGTAAAGATCATACTTGGGTGTAGAGGTTATTGTAAATGCTTCTTCTCATAAGAGGTTGATAGTACAGTCTCAGCTTTGTTGTTTTGTTCCCGGCTTTATCTTGCATTCTGATAGTTAATCTTTACTGCGAAGGCAAACCAAACTGAGGTTGTATCTTGAATCCACATAATATTGATTGAAATGTTCTTTAAAAACAAAAGCAAAGACAACAAGGGTCGCCGGGCTTTATCAACCTCATTTCGGGAAACTTTATGGGGTCTCTGTGTTGTCTTCACACCAAATACATTCTTGCAAAGAATTCCTATGTAAATGTTAACAGAACAACAACATAATAGATATGCTAATATAGCACCCAGTTGCAATAAGTGATAATAACATTAAACAGATTACAAAGTACAAAGTACAAGGTTATATGAACTGCTCTGGGCTGAGAGGGGCAGTATATAAATATAGTAAATAAATAAATATGCATGTCGTTACTCACTTCTCTATTTCATGGATATGGCTCTACTGTAAGGCTTTCAATACTGAGCAAATAATCGTCTTGTAGAAGATAATGTGGCCTTGTTAAAATGTGGTATTTTAACCAGCCCTTCAGAACAGATTAAGACTTCATGAAGAAATGATCCACCAGCCAGCTAAACTTTCATGAAGATTTAGCTTCTTTTTTTGGGAGTGGGGGTTGGCGTCTCTTAGTAATTATATATATTTATTGAGCTTTTTCTCATAGTTTCCCCAACCTTGAGATACAAGGTGGCTTGCAAAAGTTAGAACAGGTACATCACGAAACTGTAAAAGTACAATTATAATGCAACCCCCATATCCACAGGGCATAGATTTCAAGACACATCTATGTATATGGGAAACTAGATAATAATGAACCATATATATTGACTATACTTGGGCTCAAAGTGTGCTATAACATTACTCTGGAGGATTTAGGCCCCTTCTACACTGCCATAAAATCCAATTCAAAGCAGATAATCTGGATTTTATATGGCGTTGTAGAAGGAGCCTTAGAGAGACCTATAAATCATTCAGAGAAGGAGATAGGTTTTGGATTGTGAATGAGTGAAACTGTGGATATTGAATCAATGGATAAGAGTTTCTTAATGTATGTGTAAGGTAACTAATGTTTCTATTCATAAGTGAAAAGGCTATGCTTTGGAATTGGAAATAACCCTTTTCCCATTCATTCAAGGGAGAGAACACATCATTATATCTCGCTGTTGTTTTTCTTATTCCAGATTCAATATGGGTTCCTTCAGCATGATTTGGGGCACATTTCAGTCTTTGAGAAACCCAAGTGGAATAGGCTGGCTCATTTCTTTGTAATGGGAGTGCTTAAGGTAAGGGTGATTTGTGTGGTTTCTTCACCAAGACTAGTGTTTTCTATTAAAAATAGAAAGATGGCTTATTTATATTTTTATAAAAACACTTTTAATTGTAATGATTCTTAATCTTTGTAGCAAGCCTCCTTGGGTCCATACTGGGCAAATGGCAGGATAAAATAAAATAAAATGGTATGGCTTTGATATCTCCAGTCAGTTTGCTTTGTTGATTAGTTTTTCAGAAGATCCTATGGCCCCATCTACAATTCCATTAAAATCCAAATTATCTACTTTGAACTGGATTATATGGTTTCACAAGCATTACATCTTTGTGGCACCTTCTACAATGCCATATAATCCAGATTATCAAATCAGATAATCTAGATTATTTGCTTTTAACTGGATTATATGAGCCTACACTGCCATATAATCCAGTTCAAAGCAGATAATCTGGATTTGATATGGCAGTGTAAAAGGGGCCTCGGTGTACCATTCACTTTCACGTTAACCCATTTCAGGGCCTGAAACAAATAAAAAATATCATACAGTCTGTAATAAATAGAGAGGGACCCCAAATCTTTCACTATGGTGACTTGGTACATCAGCAGTCAAGACTTCTACACCATCAGCAGTCCAGAAGAGGAATTTCAATAAATGTAGGATTTCATCACATGCAGTAAAATCGGCATTTCTACACACTTCAGAAACTGCAACCGACGGTGCCCTTCACGTGACACAAGCTTCAAATGGGGGACATGAGAGAAGCCTCCTCGCAGGATTGCAAGACATCCGGGCGTCCCCTGGGCAACGTCTTCGTAGACGGCCGATTCTCTCAACCCAGAAGCAACCAGAGACGACTTGAAGCATGCAAACAAGGAAGCAAAACAACCAACGGTCCTTTTCAGGACCAACCATGACAATAATCGCAATCAACATCGAAGGCATGTCAGCTGCCAAAGAACAACTGCTCTATGAACTGTGCCGAGATAAGAAATGTGACGTGCTGTGTGTCCAAGAAACACACAGGGATGAACGACAGAAACGACCCAAAGTTCCAGGAATGATCCTAGTAGCGGAAAGACCACATGCGCAGTATGGAAGTGCTGTCTTTGTCAAACCAGGCCTCCAAGTCAGCAGTGCCCACAACACTGAAGAAAACAATATCGAGGTTATAACAGTAGAGCTTAATAACATCACCATCACCTCTGTGTACAAGCCCCCAAATGAAGATTTCTGCTTCTCCTCCCCCGAGAACTTTGACAGGCACCAAAGGGCGGTAGTAATTGGTGACTTCAACAGCCATAGCCATGTATGGGGCTATGCCCAAGAGGACAGAAATGGAGAGGCTGTCCTGTCCTGGTCTGAACTGCACAAACTATCACTCATCCATGATAGCAAGCTCCCACCATCCTACAACAGCGGGAGATAGCACCGAGGTTATAACCCAGACCTCTTATTTGTGAGCGACAGCATCGTACAGCAATGCACCAAATCAGTGGGACCACCAATCCCAAACACACAGCACCGACCAATAATATGCCAACTGTTCCCAACAATAAGGCCTCAGGAAGTTCGATTTAAACGAAGATACAACTTCAGAAAGGCAGATTGGACTAAATTCTCAGACATGTTAGACGACATGATCACATCGGTCGCGCCAATCCCTGAGGAATACGAACATTTTATTGAAATAGTGAAAACCTGCTCACGGGCCTCTATACCGAGAGGCTGCAGAACCCACTACCTCCAGGGCATTACTCCTGAAACAGCTGCCTTGTTGGAAAACTATTACAGGCTCAACAACAAAGACCCATTTAGTGAGCAAACCCTTCAGGCAGCGCAGAGCACTGTGTCCTCCATCTCTGAAGCCAAGAAAGAACAGTGGATCAAGTTGATCACAGAGGTCGACATGGGCAGGAGCAGCCAGAAGGCGTGGAGGCTGCTGAGACGGCTGAGCAACGATCCCTCACAAACTAATACCCATGCCAACATAAAGGCAGATCAGATAGCACACCAACTCTTGAAGAATGGGAAACCCAACCTTGCCACCAAAGTAGGAAAGAAACCAATAGCCAGACAACCAGAGATTGAGAACAACAACCTTCATGAACCCTTTACATCTACTGAATTGGACATGGCTCTCAATAAATGTAAGAATGGCAAAGCAGCTGGCCTGGATGATCTACGGATGGAACAAATCAAGAACTTTGGTCCAAAAGCAAGGCGCTGGCTGCTGGAGCTGATGAACAACTGCACTGCATCCTGTCAGATCCCCAAAATCTGGAGGAAAGCAAGAGTCATCGCCATCTTGAAGCCAGGCAAAGACCGTAATGACCCAAAAAGCTACAGACCAATCTCCCTGTTGTGCCACCTCTACAAAGTTCTGGAGAGACTTATTTTGCATAGAATTATGGAAAATATAGACCCCTGTCTGATCCCACAGCAAGCTGGCTTCAGAAAAGGCAAAAGCTGCACATCGCAAGTGCTGAACCTGACTCAGCACATAGAAGATGGCTTTGAAAGGCAGCAGATCACAGGAGCTGTCTTCATAGACCTGTCAGCAGTATGATACTGTGAACCACCGCCTCCTCCTGAGAAAAATGTATAATATCACAAAGGACGACCACCTCACCCGCCTCATAGGAAACCTGCTACAAAACAGGAGCTTTTTTGTTGAGTTCAGGGCCAGAGAAGCAGATGGCGGAAACAGAAGAACGGCCTGCCTCAGGGGAGCGTGCTTGCTCCATCCATGTTCAACATCTACACAAATGACCAGCCACTGCCAAAAGGGACAGAGAGTTTCATCTATGCTGATGATCGTGCCATTACTGCTCAAGCAGGGAGCTTTGAGATGGTTGAACAGAAGCTCTCCGAAGCTCTAGGTGCTCTTACTGCCTATTACAGGGAAAACCAGCTGATCCCTAATCCATCTAAAACACAGACATGTGCCTTTCACCTTAAGAACAGACAAGCATCCCGAGCTCTGAGGATTACCTGGGAAGGAATCCCACTGGAGCATTGCAGCGCACCCAAATACCTGGGAGTCACTTTGGACCGTGCTCTGACCTACAAGAAGCACTGCCTGAACATCAAACAAAAAGTGGGCGCTAGAAACAACATCATACGAAAGCTGACTGGCACAACCTGGGGATCACAACCAGACACAGTGAAGACATCTGCCCTTGCGCTATTCTACTCTGCTGCTGAGTATGCATGCCCAGTGTGGAACATATCTCACCACACTAAAACAGTAGATGTGGCTCTTAATGAGACATGCCGCATTATCACAGGGTGTCTGCGCCCCACACTACTGGAGAAATTACACTGCTTAGCCGGTATTGCACCACCTGACATCCGCCGGGAAGTAGCAGCCAATAGTGAAAGGACCAAGGCAGAGACATCTCCAGCTCATCCCCTGTTTGGGTATCAGCCAGCACGTCAATGACTTAAATCAAGACATAGTTTTCTTAGATCTACAGAGACACTCGCTGGAACACCCCAGCAAGCGAGAGTCCAAAAGTGGCAGGCCCAAACCCAGCACCTCAATTCATGGGTGATACCAGATGAGAAACTCCCCCCTGGGCACTCAGAAGACTGGGCGACTTGGAAGGCGCTGCACCACGAGATGCAGAGCCAATCTTAAGAAATGGGGCTACAGGGTGGAATCCTTGGCATGCGAGTGCGGAGAAGAGCAAACCACTGACCACCTGCTGCAATGCACCCTGAGCCCTGCCACATGCACGATGGAGGACCTTCTTGCGGCAACCCCAGAGGCACTCCAAGTGGCCAGATACTGGTCAAAGGACATTTAACCAAATACCAAATTTGCAAAATCTGTGTGGTTTTTTTTTCCTTTCTTTTTTTTCTTTTTCTTTTTAATCTCTGTGTTTGTTTTGCTCTGTTAGAATTGTAATACAATGGTTGCTGACGACACGATAAATAAATAAGCTTCAAATGTGGAGTAGAAGTATCTTGGCGTTTCTAAAGTGTAGGTTTTCCTGATTATTCTTAAGCTGGTTGGCAAGTAACTTATTCTTCAATTCCCCATGTAAACTGGGTATAAAAACACCCAATTTAGCATGTGATGGGAATTCCCTCTTGCCTGCTTGTAAAGATAATGATGAGGTCATCGTGGAGGGAGGAGCCAAGATGAGCAGTATTGATTCCTTTCTTCCACCATTACTGTTTTGAGACCAAGGAGGAAGGAACGGTAATTTATATCTCATTTTAAACATAAAATAAATAGACTTACCTTTTGAATTCAGAGCTATCTGTTCTTATAAAGAGAAATTGTAATATCCAAAGACAACAAGGGAGTAGACAGTGGGAGGAGAAGTACGTCTCCTATGTGATGAGAAGGCAAACTAATAAGTAGAAAAGAATGTGGAAAGAGGGAAACCATGGGATGGGGATAGGAAAATCATCAATTTGATTTCGAAATGGGGCTTTGCAAAGATAAAGGGAAAAACAACTATCCCAAACACTTTACTTATCCCATGTGATGAAGTCCATAGTTTTCACAGTGCAGAGTTACTAATATGCTACAGCCTATATTGCTACTGAACATGTAAGGACCCTGCCATCTTTTGAATCTGTGAAGACCATTGGTGAAGTTTTCTAATTCAGAAACCTGAATAATTAATTTTTCCATCAAAGGCTACACCCTATATACCAGGAATGGGGAAACTTCAGCCCTCCAGGTGTTTTGGACTTCAACACTCACAATTCCTAACAATCTACCAACTGTTAGGAATTGTGGAAGTTGAAGTCCAAAACACCTGCAGGGGGGAAGTTTTCCCATGCCTGCTGTAGACTATGGGAAGGTATCTACACAATGCTCCTGTTACCAAGCAAAATGGTGTGTGTGTGTGTGTTATATTTCCATCTTTTATTATAAAGGGTGGACCAGCAAGCCAGTGGAACCATATGCATAACCAACACCATGCCAAACCCAACTGCTTTCTCAAGGACCCAGATCTCAACATGCACCCTTTCCTGTTTAGCCTGGGGAAGAAACTCTCTGTGGAGGTGAGTAAACCTCTCTTATTCATTCAATCTAGAAAGAAAGTTAGGTTCATAAATCTTTGTTTTTACTGAACAAGCTCATTAGAAGGAAAGACAAGAATGACAGAGCCGGGCCATAGCACAGCTGATTAATAGCCAACAGACCAACAGCAATAGATCACTGCCAATTGGAAGGGGGGAAGTTTGAAGCCCATGTCGGATTGAGCACCCGACTGTCAAGCCTAGTTTACTGTCCACCTAAGCAGTTTGAAAATAACTGAGCAGTGAATAGAGAAATTAGGTACCGCTTAAAGCTGAGAGGTATTTTACGACACCATAAAAATCCCAGTGATCAAAGAACAAGGAGAAAATACTATGGTCAGCTCAGCGGGATAGTGGATGAAGCAACAGCACCCTCTGTGGCTGGAATCAAGCATGACCTCTAGGCACCAAAGTTGGAAAAATGCTGAAATACCTCTATCTGTCTGTCTTGTATGTCTAAAAATGGCATTGAATGTTTGCAGTGTATGTGTGCATTGTGATCTACCCTGAGTCCCCTTTGGGGTGAAGAGGGTGGAATATAAATACTGTAAATAATAAATAAATAAATCCTCACAACCTCTGAGGATGCTTGCCATAGATGCAGGTAAAACATTAGGGGAGAATGCTTCTGGAACATGGGCATTCAACCTGAAAAATTTACAGCAACCCAATGATTCTGGCCATGAAAGCTTTCGGCAAATAAATAAATAACTAGCTAGTTTAATCAGATAGCTTTTCTCCTTTTAATGGTAGGCAATTTATACCATTTGATCTGTTCTGGGACCATGGAACAGTTTTCAAGGGCAGGAACCCAACATCAGCAAGAAAGTTGCAATCAAGTTTGTCTAATTATCGGTACTTGCAGCTGTAGAAAAAATTTAAAGGGATACAGTTATTATGAAGGCCTTCCAGCAAGATAGGCTGCTTGATGTACACTTGGAAATAAGCTATACTAAACATATGGAGAAAACATCTTAAGCACACATTATGCATGTAAGAGCATCCATATGTGAAGATGATTCCATAAAAATGAACAGGAAAAGTATCCCCCCCCCTCCCGCCGCCTCCCACTACAAGTACCTGTAAGTACGGTAGGTGGAATTATTAGAATTGTCTTCTAAAATGAAATCTAAATTGAATTTAAAACTGGCTCCAAGATCCCTTGCTACCATTTGTTTGTAAAAAGTGAGAGTTGGCAACTATGTTCAAATGGAGAGTTCCCAAATTGCCTTATCCAGGGTTTCATTGTTCAAAGTGTGAAAAGGGACTCTTTCCAGTGTTATAATCCCATCCTTTCCACTCCTGACCTTTACAGAACAGTCTGAAGCAGAAATGTAACTGCATTTAGCCAGAAATTGTTGTAGAGTTCCACACACTTCGGAGCAGAGCTTCTTAAAAATTTCTCATTCAAAACCCCTTTCTGCCCAAGACATTTTGACATGACCCCAAGTATACAAAATAGATACCAAAAATACTGATAACAAACCAGCATTTGCCACACTTGCTATAACAGGCTGATTTCCCTTTTTGTGGAGTACAACTGAAACGTTTTCTGCAGAGTCCACTGTAAACACCGCATGTTGCTGCTAATAGATTTATGTAAATGAGTGTTCAGAAACCTTTTATTGTTGCCAATTTTTTCGTGACCTCAACATTGAGCTAAGGGCCCCCATTTGGGTTTGGGACCCACCGTTTGAAAATCAGTGCTTTAAATGAATCCTTCCTTATGAGAAGAACTGATTCTTAAACTGTAGATCTGACGCACAGTTTAAGAATGTATTGTCGAAGGCTTTCATGGCCGGAATCACAGGGTTATTGTAGGTTTTTTCGAGCTATATGGCTATGTTCTAGAGGCATTCTCTCCTGACGTTTTGCCTGCATCTATGGCAAGCATCCTCAGAGGTAGTGAGGACCTCTGAATGCTTCTGCTTCTGATTTTCCCTGTAAGGATGGCTGAAGGTGTTATGCCCAGCTGTAATAATATTGATTTGCTATAACAAAAATAACACGTGTTTTCTCTTCTGCCCTTCACAGCTTGGAAAAAAGAAAACAAAATACATGCCGTATCAGCACCAGCACAAATATTTTAGCTGTGAGTATCTCTGGCATTGTCCACAATACCCTTAATCTGGAAACTGTCAACAGTAAGACCATGTTGATGGATTAGGACAATAACGTGGAACTATTGGATGTTTGAATATTGGATCCCTTGGGTGACTGTGGGCAAGTCACACTATCTTATCCTAAGAGTAAGGCTGCGGCAAACCTCCTCAAAATAGATCTTACCAAGAAAACCGTATGAGTGCATTAAAACAAGTCATAATCCACTTGAAGATACATAATAGTAAGAACAACTTAAAGGCAGGTTGGAGTGGGGCATGAAATAGGAAATAGATTATCTGATGGAAATACAGGGTTCCAGAGGAAAGTTTATTTGCCAACAGAACCACAGAACCCACCTGTGTCCTTACTTTGAAATAACATGGTTTGCAATGGAAGAAAAGTTTTCATATCTGTATTTTTCTTTTATACTTTCACTTCAGTGCTGGCCCCACTGACCTTCGCCATTTATGTCCAGGTGATTATATTCCGTTACACAATCCAAAGGAAAAAATGGCTAGTAAGTAATCTACTGTGTTGCAATTGGTCTTCTTTTAGATAAACTGAAACTGTTATTATTTCAGGTCACTGGTTGTTTGCTCAATGGTTGTTTTATGTTGTGATATGTGATTGTTTGTTTTATATTAGTTTATGATGCTGTTGTATGAATTTTAATGTGTTATATTTTAACTATGTTGATCTGGCTTGTCCCTATGTAAGGCGCCCAGAGTCCCTTCAGGGAGATGGAGGTGGGATACAAAAATAAAGTCGTTGTTATTATTATTATTGTCATCACCAACACCAACGGCCACTCTGGGGCCAGAATAAAGAAGGGGAGCCGGGAGGACATTGCCATCTTGTCCCCTGTGACATCAGCGCCCCTCCCCTAGCAATAATGTAATATTATGTAGTACTAGTGTTATGAATGATGTAATAGTACTATGCTAGTTATGTATTATGTAGTATGTTGTATGTACTTATGACTTGTAAGCCGCTCTGAGTCCCCTTCGGGGTGAGAAGGGCGGCATATAAATGTCGTAAATAAATAAATAAATAAATCATCAGATTTAGGGACTGGGGAATGAGGAAATAGGAAAGATGCCAAGAAGCCACTGGAAACATCCTAGAAAAAATAGTGCTGCATTTGTTTACAAACAAATTGCATCCTCAGATGATGAACATCCTCTAAAGAGAATGAGGAATATAGAAAAGGAGGAAGGGGGCAGATAGAAGTAGTACAATCCCTTATCCACAGATTTAATATCTGTAATTTCACTTTACCATGCTAAAAAAATACAACCATCACTCCAGAAGTGTTTTTGGCTCTAGGTCCTCTGGTGTAATTGTATGGTATGCTTCTGGCCTGAGTACGTATATTCTGGCCTGAGCACGTATAGTCAAACTATAGGTTTCACTAGCATCCATGGTTTCAGGTATCCTTTGCAGGGGTTGTTCTTGGAACACACTCCTCAGGTCGTACATAAAAAGAACAAACTTTTAAAAACTGGACATGTCTTCTTTTATCTTGCAACATAAAAAGCACATTTCTCCAATATAGACTAATGTTACTGCAGTTCTCTCCCTCATATTTCCATGCTAAAAAAAGATATGTGGCAAGAGAAAAAAATGTTCAATTTTAAATATATTCAAATGTATATTTAAATATTGCCTCACAATACTACTCAGTTTCTTCTGCCTCATCCCACCCAACATTGTATTTAAAAAATAAAATAGAAATGAGGCTATCTTGGCAACTGTAGACATGCCGTCAGAATTACTCAGACATCTTTGCATTCTGTTTTTGTTGTTGTTGTTGTTTTGCTTTTATATTGTGATTCAGCTAATGCTGGTAAGGATATCCACTTCAAAAGAGTGGGCTTTCTTTGGAAATCAAGTAGAATCATAGAATCATTGAGTTGGAAGTGACCTGGTGGGCCATCTGTTCCAACCCCCTGCCAAGAAGCAGGAAAATTACATTCAAAGCAGGGGAGAAAATAAGAGTAGTTAATTCCAAACTTTTGGAATTACATATATTATTTTCAAGCTAATTTAGATTTCAAGTTCACTTATTCCTGCTCAACCCACCAAATATACACTAAACATTAATCCTCCCAAAAAATCTCAATGTCCCTGTGAAGAATGTGCCATATAACCTAGGAATTATTTTCTCTGCTCTGAATTTCATTCCAGTTTTTGAGTAATTTTTAAAAACCGAAGTCAATGAGTTCACTGATATCCCTAAATGAAGGCCATTTGACATACAATAATAATAAATCTTTGGTTATATGCCACTTTTCTCCTACAATGAGGACCCAAAGCAGCTTCCAACATGTTAAAAAACAATACAAAGTTAAACAACCGTCAAATGTATGGATATAAAACGTTGTAGGAAATCAAGGTGAGAAATCATTATAAGAAAGTGATATGGGTGACCACTGATAGATAATGCCTTCTGGAAGAAATCTGCTTGCAGGAATATGTGAACTGAGGCAGAGACTTCTATAGAAAACCCACCTTTTCCATCAGATTCAACCCAGGTGCTACTGGTCCCTGCCATGGCTGTTTTTTTAATACAACATATTCCCTGGATGCTTCCATACAGTCAAACAATGAATTGTCATGAGTTTGATTGTTTCTGTCCATCATCCAAACCTGGCACTCCTGATGGGACTGATTGTCCTCCCCCTTGCAGCCAATCAAACACCCTCCAATTGCTTCAGAAGTTGAGGTTTGAAACTGAGAGAGAGAGAAGTATTCAATGCTTGAGCAGAAATCTAGTTGCACAATCTTGAATATTGCTCATTGCTCTCTTATGTTGCATTGTGGCTTTTACAGTGATCCCAGCTATTCCAGCCCATGCAGTTAGTAGATCCAAATTTAACAAAGGAAGTTACAATCATTTTTTTATTTGCTTGATTTATTTGCTGGATGGGGTTTTTTCCTGTTACTGTCATTATTTTTAATTGACAGGAGCTTGCTTTCATTCTGATCTTCAATGTCCGTGCCTGTCTCATGTATGTTCCTTTAATGGGATTTAAGAGTTTAATGGGATTCTATTCGTTAGCCAGGTAAGACTCATGCAAAACTTTCCTCTAGGAATGTATATCTTCATAAATTTCATAGATGAGAACAAATAATTTTATCATTTGTTCTTCTTGCTGCAAGAAAGTATTTGTAGTCAAAATACTTTTACAGGTTGGGACATAATTGGTACAAAAGCAAAGATGTAACGACATTTTGCCCAGTAAATACCATTTTCTCCACAGATATGTTCATATTTGTTCAAAAAGTTATGCTGTCTTGTTTTCTGCATAAATACCCTGCTTGTATTCATCATAAATAACATATCCTCAACTGGAAAGATTCTCCAACATCAGAATCATATTTTTCATCTGACATTCACATGTTTTCAAACAGTCTTTCCAACTTTGCCTTCCTCTAACTGCTACACAATGAACATTTTAGCTTGTCTGTATGTCAAATATACCACACTCAAACCTTAAAGAGGACAATGTTTCATGAATCACAGAATCAGAGCTGATTGGTATTTCACAATCTATCTAGTTTAGTCCCCTGTAATGCAGAAAACTACCACTAAAGTATCAATGAGAGGCTTGTCATCTAACATTGACTTTAAAATCTCCAATGAAAGAGAGTCTTCCACTTTCCAAAAAGCCCCCAGTGGCACAATGGGTTAAACCCTTGTGCTGGCAGGACTGCTGACCAACATATCAGTGGTTCGAATTCAGCTCCCCATGTGGGGACATGAGAGAAGCCTCCCACAAGGATGGTAAAACATCAAACATCTGGGTATCCCCTGGGCAACGTCTTTGCCGACAGCAAATTCTCTGTTTCTCAAGTCGCTCCTGACACGAAAAAAAAACTTTCCAAAGAAACAATTCCAGTTTCAAATTGTTATTTTTCGATGCAGTTCTTCCTTACACTTTCTTGTAATTTGAATCCACTGTTTGCATCCTATCCTATGGAGGAGCAGCAAACAATTTGCATCATTAAATTTTGTTGTATTATCTCCCCTCTGTGTTCCAGGCTTAACATAGAAAGCTCTTCACACTGTTTCTCATAAGATTTACTTTCATGACCTTGTTGCATCTTGAACATTTCTCTCTGAACACAGTTGAGCTTATCTGTATGCTTCTTGAACTGAATATGGTTCTCTAGGTGAACTTCTTGAGAGCCAGTGTAGTGTATTGGTCTGAGTGTTGGTCTACAGTCCTGAAGCCAAAAGTGAATGGTGTACAGTAGAAATAAATTATCAAAAACAATTTTTAAATTCCCTCTTCCATGTTTAAATTCGTTCTAGTTGTCTATACAGAAATACTGATGTCAATATTACCATACAAACTTAAGTATGCATATATTTATCATAAAGTATATGTATTTTGATATGTATATTTCTGGGATGTGTTACTCAAAATGTTGGAGAACCTCTCTCTTAAAGACCCAACTGGGTACTCACTTATCTATATACTAAACACACGAAGCACAGCATACATGGATATCAACAGTAAAACAGTCCTGAAGACCAGGAATCAAATTCCTGTTTGGCCATGGAAGCCCACAGGGTGACCTTGGGCAAGTCACATACTTTCTGTCTCTGTGGAAGGCAATATGTTGAAATGGTAGAAAATGAATGTGTCCTGTCTTGGGTAGATATGAGCAAAATAATAGCTACTGAGTCAATGCCCACTTTGTGGGGTTGGACTGGATTGTGATTGCTGGTGTGTTTTTATGTCTGTTTTGTATATACAGGCTACTAGAAAGTACTTGGTTTCTCTGGGTCTCACAGATGAATCACATCCCAATGAACATTGATTACGATCAGAATTTAGACTGGGTCTCTACTCAGGTAAGAATCTCACATTTCTCACTGTTTATAGAATATGTATGTTTTTTATACTATCTCTTGGGATTGTATCAATTTATAATGTAAGCTCTTCTAACTAAAATTAATGTAAAAAAACTGGGAAATTAAAATACAGATGCTCAGATTACTCCTTCACTGCCATTTCCATTTTCAAATTAATTTCATAGTGAAAATAATACCAGTATGAGTCTCTTTGTTGAATGTTGCATTTATTCCTGGTGCAACTTCCCTACTGGGACATTGGGGACTCATCTCCTTCTCAGCTATTTTGGCCTATTGTGACATTATTCCTGATCCAAGGATTAGCCAGCCAAGCAATTTAAAATGAACTATAGTTTACAGCTGGCACGATGGACAACTATAAACCATATACCAGCATATGTGGGTGTGATTAGCATGGCTATGCATATGTAATTGCCTAACCATCCTTCTCAACAGGACTTCAGACAGACATGTATGGAACTATTTAGAGCCTGAGACAGCAACATCAGATGGCTGTGAAAACTAGACGACTAGAAAGAGCAAGAGCAATCTCTGGAAATACCCCATAATACCACATATGCAGATGTAGCCTTTTTCAAAAGGATTACAAAATCATATTGAAATTAATCATCTTTGCAGATGCATTTATAGAGAATGGGAGATTAAATAAGGAAAAAAACCTGCATGACCTTAAATGGCTGATCAGTAATATTATATTTAAATAAAAATTGCCCACCATTTTTTATTTGTCCCACTAAGACCATGGGGAAATTAATGCAGCTCTCAGATACTGCTTGAATTCACTAGCATAGCCAGCAATTAGGAATGCTGGAAATGCAGTTCAGCAGTAGCTGAAGGGCCACAAAGGGTCCTTCCAGACAGGCCCTATATCCCAGGATCTGAACCCAGGTTTTCTGCCTTAAACTGGATTATATGAGTCCACACTGACAGATAATCTGGGATAAACAGAAAACCTTGGATCAGATCCTGGGATATAGGGCCTATCTGGAAGATCCTGCAGTCTTGTTGCTAAAGAAAACAAACTATATCAGGATGTTTCTTGGCACACTGGAACCCATATTTTAGATGCCAAGTACAAATAACTCATTCTAAAAATATTTCCCTGTCTTATATACCAAGGTGGACAAAATGTGGTCTTAATAACTTTATTTTTTGTACCCTGCCTCCAAGGAGACCAAAGCCGTCTCAGTACCATGACCAGGCCTGAAACCAGACTGCAATGGGTCCAGATAATCAGAATTGTCCAAGAATCCCTGGAGCTGAGAAGCAACCACTCGCTCCAGAACCTTGCCCAAAAAGGGAAGATTTTAAATTGGTCTTGCAGTTATTGCTGGGCTACCTGCTCCTTGGACTACATTCCTTATAATTGCCTGTACTGTTTGGGTCAACTAACACATGAAGGACCAAACTGTGTTCATTTCTATGTATGGGAAAGAAATGGTGTCACTATATTATAGTACAACTAGGATGATAAATTACTGTAAAATATTGGTTCCAAGTACATTCCGAAGAGCTCTCCAAAATCATAGAAAATTATGCATGAGAAATGGAGATGAAACAGATATTTCCTTCAAAATTTTGTCATGTACCTAAGAGCTAAGCCACTTTGCATTTCAAAAGCTGCTTGTCTCTTCAGTAGCACAAGTTGCTCAGATGGGAACTGCAGCCAAATCTCACTCTGCCAGTGGATTTCCTTTACTTAGAATCACAAATCAAGCAGATTTTATTTTTAAATATGGAAGTCTTTCATTTGGTGGTCATAAAAATTATCCATAAACAATAAAATTGACAATGTCTTGCGATGCAACAAAATAAATATAATGTGTTACCCATGAAAGAAAGGAATGAAATTCAGCATATTTCCCTTTCCCTTAGCTCACAGCAACATGTAATGTGGATCAATCCTGGTTCAATGACTGGTATACTGGGCATCTGAACTTCCAGATTGAGCATCAGTAAGTATGATATATATATTAAGAGAGAGGGAGGGAGGTAGAAGTTGAGACTGATCAAATTATTTGGCATGAATGAATGCATCCAGGAAAGACAGCATTCATAGATATGGGGGTTGGGCCCAGACTGGGTTTTAAAGGTTGGGAACCTTTGATCAAGACTGAACGTTTTGGCTCACTGAAGCTCTTACAGCGTCCACTTAACATGATCCCTGCTTCTCTTTCTGCAGCCTTTTTCCAACCATGCCTCGACATAATTATTGGAAAGTGGCTCCTCTGGTGAAGTCTCTCTGTGCCAAGCATGGCGTTAAGTACCAGTGCAAGTCTTTGTTCACAGCCTTTGCTGACATATTGCGGTAAGAATCTATTAACAGTAGGGATGTCCCCATGCTTCCATCTTTGTTTAAAAGATGAAACAGTAAAAAATAAACACATATTAACACAGGTTCAACAGGCTGAGATAACAAATTGATCATGCTTCATAAAGTTACCAGTTAAAGATACCAGCATTGGCAGCAATTAGGTCTCCAAGAGGAGGGCACTCCGCAATTGGGGGGGGGGGGGTCACAGCTGAGAAGGCCCTCTCCTATGTCCTTACATGGTGTATTGCTACCACAGGTGGAGGACAAAGGAGAGTCTCCCTGGGAAATATCAGTCTTCAGGCAAGCAGATGTACCGTAGGCATAATGAGACGACTATCCCAAACAGCACATACTATGAGAAGGAAACTGTCCGGCATGCTAGAAAACAGCTGTTAGGTGCCAAGCAATCTAACCTGCAGTCTCTAAACCAGCTTGCCAGTTTCAGGTGTGGTGATGAAGAAAATTCTGGCCCATTGGCTTTGTGTAACACAACAGCCAGCTTTTGCTGTGGGTGGTGAATGTGTCTGGTGTGGGAGGTATCACTTTATCCTTTGTCTTAAGGCCTCATAATAGCCCTGGGACAACCACCAATGAGAGGAGCATCAATGGGAAAGGGAAAGAGGGGGAATGTCAAGAGGGAGCAGCAGCACAGGAGAGGATTTGGTAGAGTAATAGACAATATCATTACTCTTATTGAAGAGGTTCTTTTCCCTCTTTTCCAGCTCTTTAAAGGCTTCAGGAGAGTGCTGGCAGGATGCCTATCTCCATGGATAAAAAGAAGCAAGACCCTGGCACTCTCATCATACAATACAATACATTTATTTTTACACCCCGCCTCCATCTCCCCGAAGGTTCTCAGGATGGCTTACAAAGGGACATGCCCAACAAAATAGGTTAAAATATGCATCAAAACACAAGCAATATCAAACATCAATAAACATAAAATCAGATAACATTATAAACATTATAAAAATGACAACATTATAAAAACGATTAACAGCTATCATGGCTGAGCAAATAAAGTGCTGGGTTCAGTTCATAATTACTAAGTGCAATGAATACAGCACTCTTCATGCATTGTCACTAAAAAGTACTTTTTCAAATTAAGCACCTGGGATCCTGCATGTGGAGCCCCTAATAATAATAATAATAATAATAATAATAATAATAATAATAATAATGTTGTTGTTGTTCATTCGTTCAGTCGTCTCCGACTCTTCGCGACCTCATGGACCAGCCCACGCCAGAGCTCCCTGTCGGCCGTCACCACCACCAGCTCCTTCAAGGTCAGTCCAGTCACTTCAAGGATGCCATCCATCCATCTTGCCCTTGGTCGGCCCCTCTTCCTTTTGCCTTCCACTTTCCCCAGCATAATTGTCTTCTCTAGGCTTTGCTGTCTCCTCATGATGTGGCCAAAGTACTTCAACTTTGTCTCTAGTATCCTTCCCTCCAGTGAGCAGTCGGGCTTTATTCCCTGGAGGATGGACTGGCTGGATCTTCTCACAGTCCAAGGCACCCTCAGCACTTTCCTCCAGCACCACAGCTCAAAAGCATCGATCTTCCTTCGCTCAGCCTTCCCTAAGGTCCAGCTCTCACATCCGTAGGTTACTACAGGGAATACCATGGCTTTGACTAGGCGGATCTTTGTTGCCAGTCTGATGTCTCTACTCTTTACTATTTTATCGAGACTGGACATTGCTCTCCTCCCAAGAAGTAAGCGTCTTCTGATTTCCTGGCCACAGTCTGCATCTGCAGTAATCTTTGCGCCTAGAAATACAAAGTCTGTCACAGCCTCCACATTTTCTCCCTCTATTTTCCAGTTGTCAATCATTCTTGTTGCCATAATCTTGGTTTTTTTTATGTTTAGCTGCAACCCGGCTTTTGCGCTTTCTTCTTTCACCTTGATTAGAAGGCTCCTCAGCTCCTCCTCGCTTTCGGCCATCAGAGTGGTGTCATCTGCATATCTGAGGTTGTTAATGTTTCTTCCAGCAATTTTCACCCCAAGCTTTGCATTCATCAAGCCCCGCACATCGCATGATGTGTTCTGCATACAAGTTAAAAAGGTTGGGTGAGAGTATGCAGCCTTGCCGTACGCCTTTCCCAATCTTGAACCAGTCTGTTGTTCCGTGGTCCTTGAAGGAACTCAGGATGATTTCCAAAGTATAACAAAACAGCAAACATTCAATGCCAAAACAAACAATAATTATGATGAAACATGAAATAAAATAAATTAAATATAACTTATAAAGAACAGAAATTGACTGAGGATAAATGAAATAAACATAATATAACACCAGAAATCGGACCAATTAAAACACAATACATTAAAAGTGTAATATAGTCTATGACATCAGTAGGGCTGAGGTAGATATCGGATGTCAAGGTGAGGATGTATGTAAAGCATGCTAATCCTCTTCCTCTCCATAAGCTAGATAGAACAGGTAGGTATCATGCTATACACTGTGGCTGGGAAAAAAAAGACAACAGCAGATTCACACTCAATCTCCTCTGGGGAAGCAAACATGTTTCATTTCTATTTTTAGGCTGTACTAAGAGGGAAGTTTAATATCCTTGGTAGCTATGTTGGTGGACACAAGTGACAGGGCTTTATCCATAGAAGTATGTAAACCATAGTGCTCCCTTCCAAGGGACGTCAGGATAGCTTTAGGCCTTCTGGGTTACCAGGGGGCAGCTAAGACCTATTTTCTTTCACCCTTAAAGCCTGATGTGACTGTTTTGTCTGTTTTAATCATTTTTATCTGGGATTGTCAGTTTTAAAACGTTTGGTCTATTTTAATATTATCTGTGGTTGATAAATGATATGAATGTAATAATATAAATGAAAGACAGATAGAACACCCGACTGTTAAGCGTAGCTTACTGTCCACCTAAGCAGTTGGAAAACAGCTTAACTGTGAGTACAGAAATTAGGCATTGCATAAAGCGGGGAGATATTTTACGACAACATAAAAAATGCTGCTGATCAAAGAACAAAGAGGAAATACTACGATCAAAAGAGCTCGGGTCATAGTGGATGAAGCAACAGCACCCTCCGTGGCTGGAATCGAGCATAACCTCCAGGCGCCGAAGTTGGAAAATGCCAAAATGCCAAAATACTTCTAGCTGTCTGAATGTCTTATATGTCTAAAAATTGCACTGAATGTTTGCTGTGTATGTGTGCCTTGAATCCCTTCAGGGTGAGAAGGGCAAACTATGCATACTGTAAATAAATAAATAATAAATAAATAAATTGGAGGTGGAGAGGATCACTTCTGGCACAGGAAGAGTTGTTGCAAAGTACCTTTTAGCTCTATGGTAATGGATAAGTTTAAACAGTCAACAGTAGTATGAAAATATTATTTGGTACTATGCATAGTTTCAGGCATCCACAGAGTATCTTGGAACGTATCTCCCATGGAATTCAACAACAGAATTCAACAACGAGAGTACGCTGGCAATGCTGCCCTAGCAAAGGAAAAACCATGCTGGCACGGAGAAAGAGGCGGAGAAAGGGGCAGAGAGAGAGGCGGAGTCTCATGACGTCATGGATGTGCTGGCACAGTTTGCTCCCGCAGGAGGCTAGTTTGCGGCGGCTCTAAATGTTACAAATGTACAAACAGGAACAAGGCTTGTGAAATGGAAGCCTGGTTCCATTAATCCAAATCAGCAGCCAGGGGGCAACATGTAGTTTGTGATATACCTGCAAAAGATAAGCTTCACAAGTGTGGAGGCAGATATTGATGTTATCTTATGATCTAAAAAGGCACATCCAGGGAGCCTTTCACATATCACTATTGTGGAAGACCATTGTATATCGAGGAGATAGATCTAGTGTGCTACAAATGTTCTATCAATTCATATGTCTCCTCAAGACTCTTAAATTATGTCTTCTTTAAGGACTGTTTTGTTGAATAATTTTTGGGTCAGATCTAACTAGGAGGGTATGGCCTTGGAATGCAGAATTATTTGTTACCCTAATACTTATTATCCTAATAGGTAAAGCAAAGCCCAAAGAAAAACAGGCTTCCCTGGGCAGCACATAGCACACCGACTTGGCAAGATATACGACTTTGTGGGTCAGCCCCAAACTGAATCTCAATGCAGGCTGAGACCAGGAAGGTGCTGCTGCTGGTCAAGACTGTTCCTTTTTGTCATTCTTTTAGTATTTTCACCTACTTTACAAATCAAATAGTTTACATTTCAAGTCACATGCATACTTAATACATAACCCAAAAAAGAACATTTGACTTTAGCAAAACAACTGTGATTCTGCTTTAACTGTGGGATCCCAGAGTTTGTACACTGGTGAAACCTATGACTGCATAGGATGTTGCCTTGGCAGTGAAATTAGATTCAAAACACAATTAAGATTTAGTGTGAAAGGACTCATGACTGACCTCTACTGGGCAACACTGGAAGTGATTTGGAATCCTCAAAAACCATGCCAAATATTTTGATACCTATTTCAGCCCAATTATTACATGTTCTATAGGTTCATCTATTCTGCAGAATTAATGCAGATTAATGCCACTTTAACCACCATGGCTTAATGCTATGGAATCCTGGGATTTGTAGTTTGTTTGTTTTTTTCATGTCAGGAGCAGCTTGAGAAACTGCAAGTCGCTTCTGGTGTGAGAGAATTGGCCATCTGCAACGATTTTGCCCAGGGAATGCTTGTATGTTTTCATGTTTTACCATCCTTGTGGGAGGCTTCTCTCATGATCCCGCATGGGGAGCTAGAGCTGATAGAGGGAGCTCATCCATGCTCTCCCCAGATTCGAAGATCCGACCTGTCTGTCTTCAGTCCTGCCAGCACAAATGTTTAACCCATTGTGCTACTGGGGGGGGCAATCCAGTGCTTTTGCAGAGAATGCTGAAGACCTTGTAAAACCACAACTCCCAGATTCTATAGCATTGAGCCATCAAGTGGCATCAAACTGCATTAATTGTACCATGGTTTTTTTAATATAACTGCCATTGCAAAAAAATAAAAATAAACATACTCTCCCCAGTCCTCCGTCTCCACAATTAGATTTAAGAAAACACATAGTGAAATGTGTAAAGTACACCATTCTCATATTGATCTTCTTGGTTACAAATTTGTCCTTTCTCCTATTTATTTATTTATTTATTTATTTATTTATTTATTTATTTATTTATATTGTAGAATCATAGAGGCTTTCAGTGCCTTTGATATGCCATCTGGATATGTTTAGGCAAGTTTAGCAGTTTGCATCCCAAATATTCTGGGCTTTGTCATCATTTTCTTGTCTTTTTAATTGTTTTCCTCTTCTGTGTCTCACTATATAATCCTGAAAATGTTGGAACTAAAGATTCCCTTATGGGGCTCAACGCATCCTCCAGCTCCTCTGTCATTGCCTTCTTAAATTATTTTTTCTGATCAGCACTTATTAGATCCAGATTTCCTCTTAATGTTTCTTTCATGTGTTTTAATTCTTCTAAGATCTGCAAATATAACTTATTTCTTTCCAAAGTTGTCATTATGACAGCTATCAAAAAATGAAACTCACTTTGTTGCCCAAGACAACATTTTATTGCATTTGCTCCTTTTGGACACTAGGTGTCAGTGCCTCCTTTCACTCTTACAAAGGAGTTTAAATCAGGGATTTTAAGTCTTTAGAACTCCATAGCATTTACTCTTTAATATGCCTTTCTTGTTCATTATAATTTTTGAAGTGCTTGTTTTTTTTCTCCTCTAATCAGTTAGCTGACAATTTACTCATGTTTCCAAGTGCTGAAGTGGTTGGTGATAGAAGTTCAACATCCCATTTGGTAGCAAACTTCATAACTGGTCATTTGTTGTGCTCACATCTTCCCAAAATGAGATGACTTAATAGGCCAGCTCACTGTATGCCTGCAAAAGAGACAAACATCCTGACCATTAAGGATCCAAATTGATATATTACATTACATTTGCTCTCTTTCATTTCCTCAAGCTATCCCAATTTGTTACTTATATTACAAACTACAGCAGACTCTGTTACCCAGAACTCAAGCAACCAGAACTCTCAAGGAAAAAATACAAAGAAATAATACATTAAATAACAATTCATGTGAAACTATTTTTTAGCAGAAATGTTACATTAGGTTTGTCTTTATTTGCTTTTAATTACTGGATTTCGATATTAATATCAAGTCAACACAGTGTTTATGGTCCGGTATGCTATAGTATAAATTAGGACTATTTGTAAGAGTACCTCTCAAGAAACCAGAAACTGCATTGATTTAGCCTCTGCCAATCCCCATGGCTGCTAGTTAACTGAAGGTGGATCTATACTGCCATGTACTCCAGTATCTGATCCCAGATTATCTGCTTTGAATTGGATTATATGAGTTTACACTACCAGATAATCCAGTTCAAATCTGATAATCTGGGATAAAAACTGGATTATATGGCAGTGTAGATGGGGCCTGAGAATCGACTGTACCTGGGGAAATTAATGCAGCGGAGTATATAGGTGTAATGCAGAAACAAACATGTGCCTCAACTTTACAAATGGATTGAGGTGTGAACTTTGCAGAATTTTTAAAATGCCTGCTTTTGATCTTCCATTTGTCTATTGTAGCCTTAAAAGTTTTTTCCCCAAAAAACCTTTTTATTTAACTAGGACTAGGCTTACTTGCTGGCAAAGCTACGGTTTTAATGGACTTGGATGGCCTGCTTTTAGGATGATGACTTAAATCTGTGATCGTTTGAATGTTTTTATACTGTTTTTATTTAATGTGTATATTTATGCTTTTTGACGTGGGCACCATGCTGTGCCAGTTGTTAGCTGCCCTGAGTCCCTCTGCGGAGGTCAAGATAGGACAGGATATAAATGTCCAAAATAAATACATAAATAAAATTTCAAAATCTCTTCCCTTTTCCAAAATGAATAAAAGGCTTTTATAAGATTTCTTGCCTTTACCACTAGGCGGCAGCAAACACAAAATGTCCACAGCTTAAGCATGTTGTTGTTCATTCGTTAAGTCGTCTCCGACTCTTCGTGACCTCATGGACCAGCCCACGCCAGAGCTCCCTGTCGGCCGTCACCACCCCCAGCTCCTTCAAGGTCAGTCCAGTCACTTCAAGGATGCCATCCATCCATCTTGCCCTTGGTCGGCCCCTCTTCCTTTTACCTTCACTTTCCCCAGCATAATTGTCTTCTCTAAGCTTTGCTGATTCTATGATGTGGCCAAAGTACTTCAACTTTGTCTCTAGTATCCTTCCCTCCAATGAGCAGTTGGGCTTTATTTCCTGGAGGATGGACTGGTTGGATCTTCTCGCAGTCCAAGGCACTCTCAGAACTTTCCTCCAACACCACAGTTCAAAAGCATCTATCTTCCTTCGCTCAGCCTTCCCTAAGATCCAGCTCTCACATCACATAGGTTACTACAGGGAATACCATGGCTTTGACTATGCAGATCTTTGTTGCCAGTGTGATGTCTCTACTCTTTACTATTTTATCGAGATTGGACATTGCTCTCCTCCCAAGAAGCTTAAGCATACAGAAACCAATTTAAGACCTGAGTAACCACTGAAAGTCCTTCTGAAGTATCTCATGTCATCTTTCTGTACTTAGTAACCCCCCCTAGTTAGGGTGAGAAGGTTGGATGACTGGCAACCCTAAAATTTCTCTGGCACAACACTGCTCTTGATGCCCAATTATTTTTTCTAGTTGAGCTTCAGATGCTGTCAATGCAGGAATGGACAAAATGTAGCTTGTTGGTTGTATGTGGCAGCCTAGGGCTATTTTTTTGAGGGCCACGGGCCACGAGTGGGAACAAATATAGATGGAGGGGGGAGAGAAGAAGAGAGAAAATGTCCAAAAATGCCATTTAGGAGGTGTGTGGGGGAGAGGGTTCTGCCACCTTTTAGCCCCCTGAGCAATTTTAGGCACAGGAGAGAACTTTTCTTAAAAGAGAAAGGAAATCGCAAAATGACTTCCAATCACTTTCTTATTTTTTTAAGCAAAAGCCTTGTCCTAGATTTAAAATGCCATAAAGAGCCATTAAAACATGCCCAGAGGGCAGTCAAAGGATCCTTTGGGATCATTATTTTCATCTTCAGGATATTTTCTGGTTATAAATGGTAAAGGATATGAGGGATATATCAATAATAATTCCAGTTAGAAACCTCTTGCAATCTAAATGCTAGAAAATACTGGACTTAAGGTCTGGGATCTTACTGAACTGAATAAACTAACTCATAATGTTAGACTGATACACAGATGAAGGCAACTTTGCAGATATTTGGTTTCCTTGTATTCCTACATTAATCATTAGAGGAACCCGTGGAAACAAGCTTCTGCCTCTGATGATAAAATTTGGAACAGTGCACTTGAATAAATGATCATATTGGATGATATACTATGTCCAAAATGTGAGTATTGAGATATCAATAGCTGTGGCCTTTAGAGGGAGAGAAGACCTGGCAGATGCAACTCCATCCAGCCGAGGCCTGATGCAGATGAAAGTCCTCCCTTCATCCCAAATGCCACTGCCCTGTCCTCAGCAGGAGAAACATAGACTCTTCCACCTCACTTGCCCTTCTTTTTCTTGTGTTTCATGCATTTTTAGATTGAAATGACAAAGAAGTATCCAAATACTATTGTAAGCTTTATTCAGATTGCATCCTAGATTCCTGCCTGACTTGCAATTTAAAAGGATAAAGAAGAAGTAATACTTTCTTGGGGCATAAGATTACATTAATTTTTCAAGAATATTCAGCAGGAAGAAACATCTTTTCCTGTTTTCTCAAAAAAAGATAATACAAAAATAAAAGAATAATTTGCAGTGAAAGGTTGTTGCTGTTCTCACAATTTAGAAAGATGTTCCTTACTGTCTATATGGAAGGTCTCTCACACATACACACCTGCACATGCCAACTTGCACACATTGATTTTTCATTGGGCAGTTCAGCAATGAGAAAGAATGGGCTCTGAGGATTGTACAGAAATGCTCTAGTGAGATGATACAATTATAGTATCCTTGAGGGATGTGTTCCAAGACTTCCTATGAATAGCTGAAACCACACAAAATAGTTTTACCTATACATGGGCTCAAAGCATACCACGGAATTGCACTGGAGGACTTAGAAAGCCCCACAAAAATATTCAGTGGGAAATATTTTTGGGAGCGTGCGTAAGTGAAACTCTACATATTGAATCTGTGGATAAGGGGCCATAGTGCCCTAGAAAAACACCTGTATATTTGTTGTTGCTAAGGGAAACACAATTCTGTTGAAAGCACATGAAGAAGCTCAATTTAGGAAGCTCAAGCTTTGAAACGAAATGCAAAGATACAGAATGGGGGACAATGCCTGGCTTGAGAGCAGTATGTGTGAAAAAGATCTTGGAGTCCTCGTGGACAACAAGTTAAACATGAGCCAACAATGTGATGTGGCGGCAAAAAAAGCCAATGGGATTTTGGCCTGCATCAATAGGAGCATAATGTCTAGATCTAGGGAAGTAATGCTACCCCTCTATTCCGCTTTGGTTAGACCACACCTGGAATATTGTGTCCAATTCTGGGCACCACAATTCAAGAGAGATATTGACAAGCTGGAATGTCCAGAGGAGGGCGACTAAAATGATCAAGGGTCTGGAGAACAAGCCCTATGAGGAGCGGCTTAAGGAGCTGGGCATGTTTAGCCTGAAGAAGAGAAGGCTGAGAGGAGATATGATAGCCAATGTATAAATATGTGAGAGGAAGCCACAGGGAAGAGGGAGCAAGTTTGTTTTCTGCTTCCTTGGAGACTAGGACGCAGAACAATGGCTTCAAGCTATAAGAGAGGAAATTCCATCTGAACACGAGGAAGAACTTCCTGACTGTGAGAGCCGTTCAGCAGTGGAACTCTCTGCCCCGGAGTGTGGTGGAGGCTCCTTCTTTGGAAGCCTTTAAACAGAGGCTGGATGGCCATCTGTCAGGGGTGATTTGAATGCAATATTCCTGCTTCTTGGCAGGGGGTTGGACTGGATGGTCCATGAGGTCTCTTCCAACTCTTTAATTCTATGAAAACATTAAACAAGATTCTGATCAGACAAAATAATGACCATAAATAACTTTGAAATATAGAAGACCTACCTCTATACTTTCCTTTCCAAATTGTAAAGAATGCAAACCAAAACCAATTTGGGAATTTTACACATTTTATAATAGGCAAAGATGATACTAGGTGTCACCTACCTATAACGTGAGTCTTCAAGTTAAGTTATAAATGACGTCTGAAATGTCCTTTGTCAATTCAGATGAAAAATTGTGCAATTTACTACTATTAGAAAAAGGATGAAATTCGTCTCAGTCACTATTAAGAAGAGTTGCCTACAAGTAATCATAAATATGCAACATTATAAAAACCCTGATTTAGGTACATTAGAGTCCAGCATGTCTCAGCAAGTAGCAAGTCTCAGTGGCTTTTATAATTGTTTCTCTTTAGCATTCTAACTTGCTGTTTAAAATTAAATAATCCTCATGCATGTCTCTACTACCTTGTTCACTCACCATTTGGCAACTAACTGTGTTTCTTCCTTAATTAACTTGATGCTAAGAAAAACCTGAAGAGAGACATTAGCAAGGTGTGTTCTAGGAGTGTTTAGCCTTCATTTTAAAGTAAACCAGCCTGATGAAAATCTCTCAGACTAGAATACTGATTGGAACAGCATTATCCTTTGGATTTTGCACTCTTCAGATTTGTCAATGAAATGCAACACATGAAAGTGGATAAAATGCAAAAAAATGCATATAGTTCAATATGAATTCTTGTATATTTTGTCACATAATGGGGAAATCAGACTAACTTATGAACAAATTGAAAACAGGCCAGGAACAGAGTGTTTCATCTTTTGTTGTTATGTGTAATCAATTTATGACGCCCCTATGAATAGAAACCTCCAAGAGACTCTGGACAGTATTCAACCAACTGTTTAGTTGAGTGACAGACCAGTTATTCCAGGCAATTAACTGTTCCATATTCTTGATGACTACTTAGTCATGATTGTGACACTATTGCCAGAATCCTAACTTTTCTCCCCGCATCCTAGCCTACTTTACCAGGCATCAAAGGCATCCATGCTTTGCTATGGATGACAGCATGGGTGAATGACATTCCTATAAGGTTCTGGAGGTGGGTGTGAGAAGCTGTTTAATTCTGTATACTTAACTACGTAGCTGATGTAGTATACTGATCTCTGTTATTAACAGCCTTCCTCAGGTCTTGGGAATTCAGGGATGTGGCTTCCTTGATTGAATTTCATAATGCAGTCTTCCTCCTTTCTTACTAATATTTGCTTTTTCCTAGTTCTGTTGATGTATCTGTTTCAATTTGTGTATGTTCAGTTACCTATTATTTGAACTACCTTTGTGCGGATAAGGTTATTGGACTGTTCTGCCCCCAACAAACTGCTTCCAAGATCCCTTGCAAGTCTGTATACTCTGAGCATATATGAATTCATATGTGTCTTAAAAACATACCTTGTCAACAGTGCAAAGCTGGCAAATGTTAGGACAGTGGAGATTTTGTTAACGACAGACTCCTTCCAAGAAAAGACCACATTGCAGGCAGATAAACTCAATCAAAGAAGCCATGGTGCCCCACTCAGCAAGACCTGAACAGGTCTATAATTTTTTAAAAAGGCTCTTCCATTCATAGGGTCACCATAAATCAATGCTGACCTGACAACACGTAACAATAATGTTACATTTGTCAGTAGCAAGATGTCTGGCTGTAGATAATGTTCCCTATCTGGAGGTATTTGTGCGTAATATACAATTTATATTTACAATGTTGCAAAGTTCTGTGCAGCAGCATACAAAATCCGTCAGGGGATGACTAGTCCCAAAAGTTAACTGTGTGTCCAGTAATCATCTTCCCTGAATCTACAATTTGGTGATGGATCTGTGCATTGTATGTTTTTACCCTGTTTGCCCCTCCACTCCCTCACCCACATTGTGCTTCAGTAGTTATATTTATATTTTAATGTACTAAATGTACCAAGTTTGTATGAAAATGTGATTTCTATTTCCTGTGCTGGTCTATGACTGAAATAAATGATTTGATTTGATATACAATTTATATTTACTTATTTCCTGATCACTGGTTAATCCCCCACTGTCCTGAGACATACAACCGACTTCAAATTCCAGGTTAATCAGCAAAACCCCATCTCTGTATCTTGCTCATTTCTCATTTCTTGCTTCTCTTTTCTTTCACAATCTCTTCCTTTCACGCACATGCACACAGACATCTTTGTAGGGATGTCATTTAAATGTGCACAGTCTGCCAACTGTACTAAAAACAAATACTCTTTAAATAAATTATGTGTCAAGCTCTGGTCAGAGGATGCAAAAAAAAAAAAACAAAAACAAAAACCCCTGCTGTAAAGCTAATTAGGTCCCACAAACCTGAAAAATGTCATGATTGAAATAGCGATGGCTTTCTCAACCGAATGAAGGCTGAAATGTGAGTTCTGGGTCTCTGGTCCTCTTCTTTCAAACAACTAGCAAGATCCTGGAGGGAGATTCAGCTAAAAATGGATTTGATTTTCTTCTGACAAGAATTCACGCAGGAGCCTGTAAACTATGAAAAAGCTCTGATTAAATTCATTGAAATCTGTGTAGTCATGAATGCATTTGGGAATGAAATGACAAGCACTGTTATTAACAACTCAAAATAAGGAAGGGAAAAAACATTCTCAATCAGGTACCTGTGTAATATCATGGCTAGTAAAGGTAAACATTTTTCCCTGACATTAAGTCCAGTCGTGTTTGACTGTGGAGTGGTGCTCATCTCCATTTCTAAGCCAAAGAGCCAGTGTTGTCCGTAAACACCTCCAAGGTCATGTGGCCAGCATGACTGCAAGGAGCGCCGTTACCTTCCCGCCAAAGTGGTACCTATTGATCTACTCACATTTGCATGCTTTCGAACTGCTAGGTTGGCAGAAGCTGGGGCTAACAATGTCATGGCTAAGACAGCAAATTTAATTAGACATATTAGTCAAGATGACAAATAAACTGAAGCAGGCACATCAAGAAGGATTTGTTTAGGGAAAGGACCAACCTTTCCCCTCAGGGAAATAGGGCGGGTTATAAATAAAGTTTATTATTATTATCATCAACCATCAAAGGAATTGAACTGCTTTATGAGTAATGATGACTCCAGGGCCTGGACTGATTACTTAGTTGTTTTCTTAAGACAAAAAACATTGGATATGATGTTCCACAAATATGGAGGGTAAAACAGGAAGATTAGCTACTTAGACTGAAGAAAGCTATGGATTCAAAAATTATTGCTATGGATTGAACATCATCAGAGCTACCCTGGAAAAAAAGAGTCCTTAAACATTGAGGATGAAATATTTTGGGAGCTGGGGAATCTCTGATCTGTTCAGTGAACAAGCAATTTTACTGGGATCAGTTAGATAATCCTAGAAAGGCTATCTTTTGGTAATAATTGTGAATCCCTACAAATGGATATCTGAATGGGCTTGAGGAATTGATCTTTGAAGAGAAAGACATAAGACATGATGCCTGAAGAGGTAAGTGGAAAGAGAGGTAAAGAATGCATTATGTAATAAATGAAGGAAAGGAGCCCCCGGTGGCACAGTGGGTTAAAGCACTGAGCTGCTGAGCTTGTTGATTGAAAGGTTGCAGGTTCGATTCCGGGGAGCGGCGTAAGCTTCCGCTGTCAGCCCTAGCTTCTGCCAACCTAGCAGTTCGAAAACATGCAAATGTGAGTAGATCAATAGGTACCGCTCCAGCGGGAAGGTAACGGCGCTCCATGCAATCATGCTGGCCACATGACCTTGGAGGTGTCTACGGACAACGCTGGCTCTTCGGCTTAGAAATGGAGATGAGCACCACACCCCAGAGTCAGACATGACTGGACTTAATGTCAGGGGACTACCTTTACCTTTACCTTTATGGACGTATAGAGATTATTATAAGAGGTTATGTCATTACATTATAAAAGAGGGGGATGGCATAAAATGTAAATAGTTCAAAGATGTACCTGGGAAAAGGGAGCATGTGTGATTTGCAAGAGAAACCCCAAGTTCTTTGGGAAAGAATAGAACTTATACTTGAATTTCAACTGTAATTATTATGAAAACCAGAGTCGATGAGTAACATGAAGACTCTGTAGCAAGACTATATTGCATACAAGATGACTAGAGACTGTGAACAATAGGACATGTTGGAACAACCAGCTATTCTGTGATATCAGGCTGCCAGTCTTTGAAAGGTCTCCCACAAAAACATCTAACAACTTCAAATGAATTTTGAAAATTGCAGCTGAAAAGCAAAAGTCACATAGGGTGAATTTCCTGCTTCTCCTGATTTGAGCATAGATTACGTGTTTTTGAAATATGTCTTTATTTAAATGTTTATAAACCACCCAAGTGGCAACGGTTTTAAGGCAGCCCCGAAATATAAAACGTAAAAATCCATGGAATCCCAGCATTTATTTCCTGTTCATTATGTTCTATAATGGCCATCGGCAGAAACTGTTTCAGATCTAACAGATCTTGAACACCAAGATAAACTTTATAGTTTTTACTCACAGAAGTAGTAATTTCATATTACCTTTTTGCCAGAACCATTGTGTACATAAAACATAATTAACACAATGTGTCTTAAAACAATAAAATTTCATTAAATATTGTGCTATAATACAATTTTAAAATGCCAATAGGGCCTTGATGTCTTTTTAAAAGACAAAGAATCGGAGCAACTCCTAGCTCTAAGAATTATAAAATAATCTCCTAAAATAGCAAGGTGGCGGTGTTGAGGAGTTGACCATCTCTCCGTTGCCATGGACCGACCATTTCCTGGTCAGATTTAGGCTCACTGCGCCCCCCAACCTCTGCAAAGGTGGAGGACCCATTAAGTTGGTCCGCCCCAGGAGGCTTATGGATCCGAATGGATTCCTGATGGCTCTTGGGGATTTTCCCGCCACCTCGGTAGGTGACCCTGTCGAGGCCTTGGTCGCTCTCTGGAATGGAGAGATGGCCAGGGCAATTGACACGATCGCTCCGGAACGTCCCCTCTCAAGTAGCCGAGCTAAACCAGCTCCTTGGTTTACTGAGGAGCTGGCAGTGATGAAGCGAAGGAAGAGGGAACTAGAGAGCGTGTGGCATTCGGATCCGAGCGAGTCAAATCGAGCACGGTTTGTGTCCTTTTTAAGGGCATATACCGCGGCAATAAAAGCCGCAAAGAAAACTTTCTTTGCGGCTACTATTGCGCCTGCAAGGAACCGCCCGGCGGAGTTGTTCCGGATTGTCAGAGGTCTTTTGGGGGGGGTGGAGGGCCTGTTTTATTTCATTTAGGGTTTCTTTTTTTTTTTTTGGGGGGGGGGGGGGGGGGGCGGCGGAGTTGTTCCGGATTGTCAGAGGTCTTTTAACTCCCGCCACCTCAGGCGGGAGCCCTGACAATTCGGCCACGCGCTGTGAAGCATTTGCTCGGTTCTTTGCAGACAAAGTCGCTTTGATCCGTTCCGGTCTGGACACCATATTAAATGCAGTCTCCGAGGATGTGACACGAGCACCTGCTTGTCCTATTTTGATGGATTCTTTCAATTGGTGAAGCCCGAGGATGTGGACAAGATACTTGGAGGAATGAGGCCCACCACGTCCATCCTAGACCCCTGCCCATCCTGGCTATTGAAGGAGGCCAGAGGGGGATTGGCTGAGTGGGTAACGGTGGTGGTTAATGCCTCCCTTCGGGAAGGCAAGATTCCAGCGAGCTTAAAACAAGCTATTATAAAACCGCTGTTGAAAAAACCATCACTGGACCCCACTAAATTTGACAACTTTCGGCCTGTTTCCAATCTCCCCTTTTTGAGCAAAGTCATGGAAAGCGTGGTGGCCTCACAACTCCAGGTATTCTTGAGAGACACGGATTATCTGGATTCGGCACAGTCTGGTTTCAGACCGGGACATGGAACCGAGACGGTCTTGGTCGCCTTAGTGGATGATCTGCGCCGGAGCTAGACAGGGGGAGTGTGTCCCTGTTGGTGCTCCTGGACCTCTCAGCGGCCTTCGATACCGTCGACCACGGTATCCTTCTGGGGCGCCTTGCGGAAATGGGCCTCGGGGGCACTGTTCTACAGTGGCTCCGGTCATTTCTGGAGGGTCGCACCCAGAAGGTGTTATTGGGGGACACCTGTTCAACGCCACAGCCTTTGACTTGTGGGGTTCCACAGGGCTCTATACTGTCCCCCATGCTGTTTAATATCTACATGAAGCCGCTGGGTGAGATCATCCGGAGTTTCGGGGTGCGGTGTCATCTGTACGCAGATGATGTCCAACTCTGTCACTCCTTCCCACCTGCTACTAAGGAGGCTGTCGAGGTCCTGAACCGGTGCTGGCCGCTGTAATGGTCTGGATGAGGGCGAACAAATTGAAATTGAATCCAGACAAGACAGAGGTACTCCTGGTCAGTCGCAAGGCCGAACAGGGTATAGGGTAACAGCCTGTGCTGGATGGGGTCGCACTCCCCTTGAAGGCGCAGGTGCCCTTCGATATAGCGTAATTACAAGGTTGACCCTCTTCACCCAGGTCTCAGCGGTGACCAGGGGAGCATTTGCACAGCTCAGGCTCGTGCGCCAGCTGCGCCCGTACCTTGGGAAGTCTGACTTGGCCACGGTAGTACACGCTCTGGTCACATCCCGCCTTGACTACTGCAACGCTCTCTACGTGGGGCTGCCCTTGAAGACGGCCCGGAAGCTCCAGCTAGTCCAGCGCGCGGCAGCCATGTTACTAACAGGAGCGGGACGCAGGGAGCATACAACGCCCTTGTTGTACCAGCTCCACTGGCTGCCGATCTGCTACCGGGCCCAATTCAAGGTGCTGGTGTTGGCCTACAAAGCCCTAAACGGTTCCGGCCCAAAATACCTGTCTGACCGCATCTCGGCCTATGAGCCCACGAGGACTTTGAGATCGTCCGGGGAGGCCCTTCTCTCGATCCCGCCTGCCTTACAGGCACGCCTGGCAGGGACTAGGGACAGGGCCTTCTCAGTGGTGGCCCCCCGGCTGTGGAACACCCTCCCTGTGGACATCAGACTGGCGCCCTCCCTTATGACATTCCGCAAGAGACTAAAGACGTGGTTGTTTGAGAAGGCGTTTGAGTAAATGCTGCAACAATTGGCAATGACGATTGGAACGGAACATGGATAACGAGATTTGGATTGTGATTCAATGATAAGACGTCGCGAATGATTTAGTGTAATTGTATTATTGATAGTGATGTTGTTTATTGTTGTTTGTGATATTGCTTATGTTGCAAATTGTACCTGTTTTTATATGTTGTACACCGCCGTGAGTCGCCCTAGGGCTGAGAACGGCGGTCTACAAGTGCAGTAAATAAATAAATAAATAAATAAAATATGTAAGTTGGCTTCTGGGGGAAAATTCTTCTTGAAATTGGTGTCTGTAAAGTGTGTGTCCATAAAGATACTGAAAAAATGGATAATAGTCTTTTTAGCCTTGAACACCTTTTTGGTACAAGAGGGATGGGCAATTGCAGAGAGGACTGTTTTTCCCACTCCCTCGGGCAGTTGGGGAGATTTTGTGTATATCCTTTTCAGCTTTTTTTCTATTTTATTTTTAAAGTTGGAGAAATCTAGTCCTTCAAAAACCCAGAACTGGGTCCCAGAGGCCATAAATTTCCCCAAATATCAGTGAAATAAGCCATAGTAACACAGGCGAAAATTACACAGGTTTTCATAAATATCAACTATAATTGTAATGCAAAATTAATACACTGCAATACATCAAGTCAGAGGAATTTCACAATTACATAGTTACATCGTCATTTTGCAAATTACTCCTGTCAAAATTAAAACCTGAAAGAATTATGGCAGCATTGAGTCACATTAAAGAATCTCACACTCAGCCAACCAGCTCCTTGTGACTCTTATCACAAAAGAATATTTAATATTTCAAAGCATCAAGGATGCTAGGGTTTCCTTGATTTTTGCCAGCCACTGCTACCCAGTTAGCATTGCAGCTCAACAGGTGTAAAAGGACATGTTCAATCCTGTTGTCAGCCTGCAGGTCAAAAACATTCATTACTAACTGTTACCTCACAACACTTGCTTCACTAGTTCCTTAAACCCACATTTAAGAGAGCACATTAGTGAAAGTACAGGGCTCTATTACTGTATGACGTGAATCTAATGCACACCCTAATTTTGGCAAGTTAATTTAGCCAAAAAAGGTGAGCATTAGATTCAAGTAAATAGGGTATATTTTGTTTTAGACAGCATAGGGAAGGGTTAACACTCCTATGGTGTGTGTCTTGCTGTCTGTGATCCTGTTCAGAAGATTCCACCTCACTTCCTATCTCTGTGATAATTGGATTTTGAGAAATTTGGCTTGTTGTGGAAACAAGGATAGGTGATAAAGCTTCAGCTGACACACCTTTTCCCCACGATGGCTTTCCCAGGGGTGAATTTCTCTTCTGAGGGGTAGATTTCTGTCACTTCCTGGTACCTCATCCCCATGAGTCGTTTCTAAGTCAGATGTTTGTAACCCAGGGACTGCCTGTACTTCTTAATGTTACTCAAAAGTATTTTAAAAGCCTTCTAGAAAGAAGTCGGATCACACTTTAAGAAATCAATATATAAGCTGCAAGTGTTCCACTTCTGCATGCATCCACTGACAGACAGGAGAGTATGAAGGGCCACTGGTGATATCCTAAGGTACCCTGAATGTTAGTCATCTATATGGAAATCTGTATTGCTTCACTGGCTTGCACCCAAAGATTTGTTTGTGGTTAAACTCTTTCATTAGATATGTGGTTACTGAGCCACAAACTGAGTTCTCCTTATTGATGCTAACCTGAAATCTCATATTTAAGTCAATAGGAAGTGTAGATAAGGCACTAAAACCAGTCACACATCTAGAGCTTGTTGTCAATTCACTGCTGGCTGCCCCAGCCTCAGGAAATTCATAAAATTTGACATTACTTCAGCCTACAAACAGCTGGAAATCTATTTCAAAATCAAGTCCTCATTAGAAAACTTCATAATAGATAATGCTACAATCTGGATAAAATACTATTTCATCAAGGCCAAAGTTCTTAACCTTTTTGTTCCACAGACCCCTTTGCCAGTCAGGCAAAAACTACAGAACCCTTCTCATAATGTAACGACAGATAGTTTTATGACACTCAACATTGTGTCATAAACATTTACATAAAATTTTAGGATTATTCAAAATTATGCTATACAACTTCTCATCATTTCAATACCCAACAACTATTATAATTTATTGCATACACTCAAAAGTGAAGGGAATACTAGATTTCAGTTAGAGGTCAGAGAAAATAAAAATAAGTATAATACATTCATATTTTTTTCAGTTCAAGTTTGTGACCCCTGGTAAAGAACCCCTGATCTAGGCAGAAGTAATACTCTGTCCCTTTAAGAGGCAGGTACTGAAGATCTCCTTGTCAGCAAGAAATAGGGCTCTTTTAAATTTGGCATCTCTGCAGATCAGTTTTTTGGTCTTTTAAACTGGGCACCCATGCAGAGCAGTATATAGATTATAAATTGCTCTGTATTTTACAAAATGTTGTGTTCATGAAAAGATATTAGTATTATACTTTTTTCCACAATCAAAAGCTATGGATTCTGGAATGTCTTTAAAGCAAAATTTCCCAAGGAAAAAAAATCACACTATATATAGCTTACAGAACTTGTTAAATTCTTGAACTCGCTTCTGTATTTCAAGTAGGTAAAACAAGTAAAACCTTATCAAAATGCAGAGCCTATATGGGATTTGATGCCTGAAGCTGCCAGTGGGCAATGCTTGCACAAACACACTGCTCTTTAGCAAAGCACACAGAAATATTGCAACATGCCATTTTACATAACTTTCATGAGAACTAGGTGGGAGTTGAGAAATATGGTGTGAACAGGTTAGAGAATTAGAATAACAAATGGAAATACAAATGAAACAATAGCACATTTCTTCCACAAAACTAACTTACCTGTGGTTTTGAACGAGACTTGGATATGCTTTTTCTGGCATCCTAGCATAGCATGGCCTGTAGGGCAACAAGATCAAACAGAGGAACCCACTTGCAAAACTTCCTTCCAGTTGTCTACACACTCTTCTCTTTCAGGCATCAGTTGAAAACTTATATATTTGCACAAGCTGTCTATGTTTTATTTGTCCTTTCCTGCTGCACATGTGTTGTATTTAGTTGAAAGGTATGATTTCAGATATTTGTAACTTTACATATTTATGTGTGATTTTAAGAATGTGCGACGCCCACCTCCTCCAAGATGAATTGAACCACCTCAACTGGGCTCTACAGACCAATGGATACTCCACCTCAGACATCAGAAGAGCTGCAAGACCAAGAACAAGCCACAAGAGTCAAGACAAAGATCCACCCAGAAAAAAAGTGTTCTTACCATACATCAAGGGAACCACTGACCGCATAGGGAAGCTGATAAGGAAACAACCTACAAACTATCTACAGACCCACTAAAAAAAATCTAACAATTGCTACATTCAGCAAAGGACAAGAGGGATACTCTCACCTCTGAAAGAGGCTACCGTATACCATGTAGCTGTGGACAAGTCTACGTAGGGACCACCAAACGCAGCACCCAAACGCGAATCAAGGAACATGAAAGGCACTGCAGACTAAGTCAACCAGAGAAGTCAGCCATAACAGAGCACCTGATGAACCAACCTGGACACAACATACTATTTGAGAACACAGAAATGCTGGACCACCCTAACAACCACCATGTCAGAAAACACAGAGAAGCCATTGAAGTCCACAGAAAGGAGGAAACCATGAAAATGGACAAAATCTGGATAAACGTATTTAAAAACGCTAAAATCAGAAGAGTAAATAAAGAACAACACTTGGAAAACAGGGGAATTCCAGACAAGAAACAATGAGGGCCAGTTAACATCTCCCAAAAAGGATTTTCTCAGGCAGGAAGCAGCTAGGCTTTGAAGATGCAAGGCTATTCAATGCTAATCAAGGTGGTCAATGGCAACATTCACACCTGCCTCAAACAGACAAAGAGTTCTTTCCCCCATTCTGGATATTATTCCACAGATATATATACCCCACTTGCCTAATTTCCAACAGATCTCACATCCTCTGAGGATTCCTGCCACAAATGTAAGTGAAATGTCAGGAGAGAATGCTTCTGGAATATGGCCATACAGCACAGAAAACTAACAGCAACCCAGTGAAAGCCTTCAATGCCACAAAGAAGAATGTGCTTTCCTGACAACAATATATTGTTCTGACCTCCCTTGATAATGCAATTAATCACCTTTTCTATACTACATAGGGCTTAAATGCCCATTTAAGACAAATGGGCATTTAAGCCCTATTTAGTATACAAAAGGTGATTAAATCTGCTAAAATTACTAGTTTAGGTTCTTGTGGGGGTTTTCGGGCTATAGGGCCATGTTCTAGAGAACTTGAACATGTTCTCTAGAACATGGCCCTATAGCCCGAAAAACCCCACAAGGACCTAGTGATTCCAGCCATGAAAGCCTTTGACAATACATTAATTACAAGTTTGTTGACTCTGAAATGTTTGTTGTTGTTCATTCGTTCAGTCGTCTCCGACTCTTCGTGACCTCATGGACCAGCCCACGCCAGAGCTCCCTGTCGGCCGTTACCACCCCCAGCTCCCTCAAGGTCAGTCCAGTCACTTCAAGGATGCCATCATCCATCTTGCCCTTGGTCGGCCCCTCTTCCTTTTGCCTTCCACTTTCCCCAGCATAATTGTCTTCTCTAGGCTTTCCTGTCTCCTCATGATGTGGCCAAAGTACTTCAACTTTGTCTCTAGTATCTTTCCCTCCAATGAGCAGTCGGGCTTTATTTCCTGGAGGATGGACTGGTTGGATCTTCTCGCAGTCCAAGGCACTCTCAGAACTTTCCTCCAACACCACAGTTCAAAAGCATCGATCTTCCTTCGCTCAGCCTTCCCTAAGGTCCAGCTCTCACATCCTAGGTGACTACAGGGAATACCATGGCTTTGACTAGGCGGATCTTTGTTGTCAGTCTGATGTCTCTACTCTTCACTATTTTATCGAGACTGGACATTGCTCTCCTCCCAAGAAGTAAGCGTCTTCTGATTTCCTGGCTACAGTCTGCATCTGCAGTAATCTTTGCCCCTAGAAATACAAAGTCTGTCACGGCCTCCAAGGTTTCTCCTTCTATTTTCCAGTTGTCAATCATTCTTGTTGCCATAATCTTGGTTTTTTTGACGTTTAGCTGCAACCCGGCTTTTGCGCTTTCTTCTTTCACCTTGATTAGAAGGCTCCTCAGCTCCTCCTCGCTTTCGGCCATCAGGGTGGTGTCATCTGCATATCTGAGGTTGTTAATGTTTCTTCCAGCAATTTTCACCCCAGCTTTGCATTCATCAAGCCCCGCACATCGCATGATGTGTTCTGCATACAAGTTAAAAAGGTTGGGTGAGAGGATGCAGCCTTGCCGTACGCCTTTCCCAATCTTGAACCAGTCTGTTGTTCCGTGGTCAGTTCTGACTGTTGCTCCTTGGTCCTTGTACAGATTCCTCAGGAGAGAGACAAGGTGGCTTGGGATGCCCATCCCACCAAGAACTTGCCACAATTTATTATGATCCACACAGTCAAAGGCTTTAGAATAGTCAATGAAGCAGAAGTAGATGTTTTTCTGAAACTCCCTGCCTTTCTCCATTATCCAGCTGATATTGGCAATCTGGTCTCTCGTTCCTCTGCCTTTTCTAAACCCAGCTTGAACATCTGGCAACTCTCGCTCCATGTATTGCTGGAGTCTTCCTTGCAGGATCTTGAGCATTACCTTACTGGCATGAGAAATAAGGGCCACTGTACGGAAGTTTGAGCAGTCTTTCGCATTTCCCTTTTTTGGTATGGGGATATAAGTTGATTTTTTCCAGTCTGATGGCCATTCTTGTGTTTTACATATTTGCTGGCAAATGGCATGCATCACCTTGACAGCATCATCTTTTAAGATTTTAAACAGTTCAGCTGGGATCCCGTCGTCTCCTGCTGCCTTGTTGTTAGCAATGCTTCTTAAGGCCCATTCAACCTCACTCCTCAGGATGTCTGGTTCTAATTCATTCACCAACCGTCAAAACTATCCTCAATATTATTATCCTTCCTATACAGATCTTCTGTATAGTCTCGCCACCTTCTCTTGATCTCTTCAGCTTCTGTTAGGTCCCTGCCATCTTTGTTTCTTATCATACCAATTTCTGCCTGAAATTTACCTCCAATGTTTCTAATTTTCTGGAAGAGGTCTCTTGTCCTTCCTATTCTGTTGTCTTCTTCCACTTCCATGCATTGCTTATTTAAAAATAGTTCCTTATCTCTTCTGGCTAACCTCTGGAATTGCGCATTTAACTGGACATATCTCCCCTTATCCCTGTTTCCTTTTGCTTTCCTCCTTTCTTGGGCTACTTCCAGTGTCTCAGCAGACAACCATTTTGCCTTCTTGGTTTTCTTTTTCTTTGGGACGTACTTTGTTGCCACCTCCTGAACAATGTCGCGGACTTCTGTCCATAGTTCTTCTGGGACTCTGTTTACTAAATCTAGTCCTTCAAATCTGTTCTTCACTTCCACTGTATATTCGCTAGGAATGTTAGTGAGATCATATCTAACTGGTCTGTGTATTTTCCCTGATCTCTTTAGTTTTATTCTAAATTGAGCAATAAGAAGTTCGTGATCTGAGCTACAGTCAGCCCCAGGTCTTGTTTTCACCGACTGGATGGATGTCCGCCACCTTTGGCTGCAAAGGATGTAGTCAATCTGATTTCGGTGTTGACCATCTGGTGAGGTCCATGTATAAAGCCGTCTTTAGGTTGTTGGAAGAGAGTATTCGTTATACACAGCGAGTTTTCCTGGCAAAATTCTATCAGCCTGCGTCCCGCTTCATTTTGTTCTCCCAGACCATGCTTGCCTGTGATCCCTGTTGTCATTTGACTTCTCACCTTGGCATTCCAGTCTCCTGTAATGAAAATAATGTCTCTTTTTGGTGTATTATCCAGTAGGTCCTGCAGATCCTCATAGAACTGATCTACTTCTGCTTCTTCAGCAGATGTGGTTGGGGCATATATTTGGATCACTGTAATGTTGAAAGGCTTTCCTTGCACTCGAATTGAGATCATTCTGTCATTTTTTGGGTTGTATCCAAGCACCGCTTTAGCGAATTTCTTATTAATTATGAAGGCTACTCCATTTCTTCGATGTTCCTCTTGTCCGCAGTAGTAGATCTGGTGGCCATCTGATGTGAAGTGGCCCATTCGTCCATTTCAGTTCGCTGACCCCCAGAATGTCTATCTTTAGTCTTGACATCTCACCAATAACAACATCCAATTTGCCCTGGCTCATAGATCTTACATTCCAGGTTCCTATGGTGTGTTGATCTTTCGAGCATCGGATTCGTCGTTCACCTCCAGTACCGTCGGCCGCTAGCCTTCCTTTCGGCTTTGAGCTAGCTGCGTCATCACATCTGGGGCTAGTTGGATGGACAAATGATCAATGAGGTTTCAAGCGATAGTACTCAGAAAATATGATATGAGATAGCATTGCTGCAAGACAACCACAGCTTACTTTAAAAAAAACTGTATGAAAAAGTGTGTGCACAAGGTTTATTGGCCCTCAACAAATATGGTGAAGAAGTTGGAGTGGTACAGTACAACCTGAAATGTTTATCATACAACTACTTGCAGTCCAATGCCAGTTCACACTTTTGTCTTTTCCCACTTTGATGCTGAAGGTAACTTTGACCCACTCCAACTTCTTCACCATATTTGTTGAGGGCCAATAAACCTTGTGCACACACTTTTTCATACAGTTTTTTTTTAAAGTAAGCTGTGGTTGTCTTGTAGCAATGCTATCTCATATCATATTTTCTGAGTACTATCGCTTGAAACCTCATTGATCATTTGTCCATCCAACCATCTATCTCTGTCTGTGTGTGTGCACTATGTCACAACTGTAGTGTTGTGGCATTCCGCTATCTCTCCACATGACCAAAGAGCCATCATAGCTGTCTTGCATTTGTACATTCAGGCTGTTGCCAGTTCAATAATCTGGTAATGTAAATTTCCCTGCTAGTTGCTACTAGGGAAATATCACAGAGGTTATCTACGCCCGGCGAAATCAGGTTATCTACGCCCTCCTTTCCTTCAGAAAGAAGTTAAAAATGTGGATATGGGAGCAGACCTTAAGGTAATCATGCTGATAATGATAATGACAATGATGACAATTGCTATGGAAATGGACTATGGACAAGCTTGATGGAGTCTCTAACCACAGAAATCGGCTTAGATAAAACCACCAGGCTGTTATACATTTAAACAGATTTTAATTGAATTGATTTAACGTTTTCAACTGTATGTAATTATTGGATTTTATTATGTATTTTATTATGTGCACATGGAGACATCAAATTGTTGCCGGCTGGAAGCTGCCCTGAGTAGCCCCCCCCCCCCGGGGGGTTGAGAAGGGCGGGGTACAAATATCTGAAATAAATAATAACAGCCATTCTAATTAACTTGACTACTCATCAGCCAAAAGCAGGCCTACAATTCCCACTGAAATACTGCTAAGTTTAGTAAAAGTAAAGGTTTCCCCTTGACATTAAGTCTAGTCGTGTCTGACTCTGGGGGGTGGTGCTCATCTCCTTTTCTAAGCCGAAGAGCCGGCGTTGTCCATAGATGCCTCCAACAAGGTCATGTGGCTGGCATGACTGCATGGAGCACTGTTACCTTCCCGCTGAAGCGGTACCTATAGATCTACTCACATTTGCATGTTTTCGAACTGCTATGTTGGTAGAAGCTGGGGTTAACAGAGGGAGCTCACCCCACTCCCCGGATTCGAACCACTGCCCTTTTGGTCAGCAAGTTCAGCAGCTCAACAGTTTAACCTGTTGTGCCACCAGGGGCTCAAATTTACGTTTATGTTGATTAAAATTGTTCTTCATTTTAAATATGGTACTGTTCTTTCATGTCTGAGGTTACATTTGAACTCAGCAAATTTTAGACTTACACTGAAAGTTATATCAGTGTATGCAATGCTGGTTTTTGATGTTATACCAAAGGAGGTGGAAAAAAATGCCTGTCTGAGTTTTGAATTCATTTTTTCCCTTCCAAAGAAAAAAGCTTTGGAATAAGGCACAGAAGCACCATTTCTCGATAAAAAAGAATATGATTCTTAATTTAGCTCAAAAAACTAGCTTTCCTGTGTGTTCAAGAAAGAGATATATTTTAAAAACATTTTGCGTAGTGAGTTTTTAAACTCACATTTCAAACGAAGCACCTTCGTGTTTCATTTCACATTACAAATTAAAAAAGGAAGAGGCATAT